CTCCTTATATTGGGTTGGGCATGAACTCTACATAACATTTCTTGGGGCTTTGTTTTCCTTTGTACTATGTATCTTTTTCAGGCTCACTTTATCATGGTCCTACATAACATTTTCAGAGCTCTGTTTTCCTTTGTTCTATGGAACAGATTTGGAGCTCTGTTTATGGAATAGATTTGGAGCTCTGTTAATGTAACAGATTTGGAGCTCTGTTTACAGACCAGATTTGGAGCTCTGTTTATGGAACAAATTTGGAGTCTTGTTAATGTAACAGATTTGGAGCTCTGTTTCTCGAACAGATTTGGAGCTCTGTTTATGGAACAAATTTGGAGCTCTGTTTATCGAACAAATTTGGAAAATATTCTATGTAACAGTTCTTCGGGCTCTGCTTCCTTGGTCTTATGTAACAGTTCTTCGGGCTCTGCTTCCTGGTCCTATGTAACAGTTTTTCCGGCTATGTTTCCTTGGTCTTATGTAACAGTTTTCAGGACTCAGTTTTCCTTGGTCCTATGTTACAGTTTTCAGGACTCAGTTTTCCTTGGTCTATGTCTAACAGTTTTCCAGCTCTGTTTAACAGTTTCCGGCTCTCTGCTTCCTTGGTCCTGTGTAACAGTTTTTCGGGCTATGTTCCTTGGTCCTGTGTAACAGTTTTCCTTGGTCGATGTAACAGTTTTCCGGCTATGTTTCCTTGGTCCTTTGTAACAGTTTTCCGGCTCTGTTTCCTTGGTCCTATGTAACAGTTTTTCGGGCTATGTTTCCTTGGTCCTATGTAACAGTTTTTCGGGCTATGTTTCCTTGGTCCTATGTAATGGTTTTCCGGCTCTGTTTCCTTGGTCCTATGTAACAGTTTTCCGGCTATGTTTCCTTGGTCCTATGTAATATGTGGTCCTATGTAATAGTTTTTGATGCTCTGTTTACTTAATAGTTTGTAGTTTATGTACATAAATTTAGGTCACCACAAGAAAATCAATTTCTTGTAGTTTGAAGGACAATTCCGACAATAAAGTACAGACTACTGACTGTAAGTAATCAAGGATTTGGTTTGATATACAGTTAAAAATACCGATAACTCCATTTAATGCTGCTTTGTTATTGTTTAATCACCACTGCCTTCCAAAGTTTCTGGTAACCTGTTGGAAGTAAAGGCATAATTAACAAGCTCCTTGTACATATGTAATACATCGACAGCCAATACAATTTATTGGTTTACTCTTGAAGGAATATATTGATTGATCCGAAGCATTCTGTTACTTACATATACTGAATTGATTCTTCCATTCAAGTTTCTGTTTGGTTAAAACTAAGACGTATCATTTCATATTGATTTCTGATATATATAGGTATTAATATGAATATAATTTCAGACTAGAGAACATCTAAGATATGCACAGCTATCAGATTTAGGTAAAACTTGTCTTATATACTTATATAATACTCAATTTGTGCTTATTGTTGACCACATTTGTATCTATGAGTAACCGTGATCACTAGTTATAACTTATATCCAGAAACATACCAATCATTACAGCCAAATTCACTCCGAGTTTCTAGCTTTGGTCTATTTTTCTTATTGCCTCTGAATGACCTATCAGATTTTTATGAAATTTTCCACAAACTTTACACCAAATAGCAATGCAAGCTTAGCTTAGTACACCCAGAAAAAAATCATATTTATTTAAAATCACTGCTTTCAGTTATGTTTGATTGACAACGTTTTTTAAAAAAAATTTGATGCCAAGAATAATTGCAATATGTACCTTTTCCTCTGGTATAGCTTACTTGTTGCAGATCAATATTTAGTATTATATCAGTTTCTGGAATCTAAAATCAAAGAGCAATGGCAGCCAATACGTATGTGTGTATATTGTATTTCAATCCTTTATCAGACATATACCATGTGCTATGGTTTTATCAAAGCTGGCAGGACTAGTCAGCCTAGTAAAATATTCCTTTACAACATCCTTTGCTTAATATAAACCTTATGATGTCGCAAACAATTTACTGGAAAAATTGTGGTAACATTGTAGGATGTAATAAGTTTTTACTAAATTCAAATATGTAAAATTAGTTACAAGGGTTTTGATTTGGAGAATACTTTTGGTAGTAATTTGTATATAAAACTAGGACAGTATACTGTAAAGAAATGATGGATAAACAATTTGTTTTGTTATAAACTGTAGTATTCCATACTTTTAATGACGAATTAATGATTTTTATGGAAAATATTAATCTGGAACATTTTAAATGTAAGAAAGTCATTGAAAGGTAATTAATGAGTTTGACGAACATTCTCAAAATGAATGAGGTTTCGAAGCCTTTATTCAAAATACCATAACTATAAATCCAGGAGAAAAATATCAAGCCCTTTGTTTGGTGTAGTGTTGATGTATAAACAATAATACTGTATGCGTTAAAACCTAGAAATAACCATTTAGTTTTTAACAGTTTGGATTTTAGTAATGAAGATTAAACCATTTGTTTTTCAAAAGTTTGAATTTTTTAATGAAGGCACTAATGTTTTCTGAAATTAACATATTAATTCACTTTATATTTTGTAATCCTTTATGGTTATGCTTACATCTTAAACAGAAACACAAAATCTTTTCAGTAAAATTACACTCAAGGTTCTTCTTGAATCAATTGCTTTTCATAAAATATTAATCTAATTTATTGCTTTGTGAAACTGCAGTAGCCTGATTACCTGAGACAACGTAGGTAGACATCTGATTACTTTCCCCTGCTGATGTTCTAAATTTAAACTTATTATCACAAGATGATGAGACCCTGTGTACTTGATCCATTATTAATACTGGTTTAGACGATCTATTAGTGACTTTGTAGGTAATCGGTTTTACAGTTTGGATTGTTTGTAGTTGCTGTAGATTAATTGTAAAACCTTTAGTATTGGATTTCAAGCTGTAGGGCTTTTACTATTCACTATGTCATCTACAATGTCCATAAGTAAATTACTATTTTTTTTATTTCTGATATCTAATTTGTTGTTCTCATGACTAGAATGAGATTAGTTTGATGTGGAATTGAGTAAAAATATCCATTTGGAACTTGAGCACTGTTTGATATCAAATTAAGAATTTTAGAAGAGGACACAGATACCAATTATTTGCAGAGATCCCGAAGCAAGATTACAAGGTAGTACCACAGTATGCAGTTCTATGATGATCCATTAGAAAGAGGTTAATATATATTTCACAATGTTGGGATTCCCATGTAGACAGAAATTGGCTATGTTACAAAGCTATGCATGATCACTGAGCTTTCAGTGAGGTTTCCAGTTTCAACGAGAAGCAGTTGTAGTCTAGTGTAAGGTTCGTATATCAGACAGTCCAGAATGGGATTCACATATCACATAGATCACAGAACACTGACTGACCCCCATACCGCTTCTTCCTACAGTCCAGAATGGGATTTACATATCACATAGATCACAGAACACTGACTAACCCCTACCTCTTCTCCCTACAGTCCAGAATGGGATTCACATATCACATAGATCACAGAACACTGACTGACCCCCTCCCTCTTCTCTCTACAGCCCAGAATGGGATTCACATATCACATAGATCACAGAACACTGACTGACCCCCTACATCTTCTCCCTACAGTCCAGAATGGGATTCACATATCACATAGATCACAGAACACTGACTGACCCCCTACCTCTTCTCCCTACAGTCCAGAATGGGATTCACATATCACATAGATCACAGAACACTGACTGACCCCATACCTCTTCTCCCTACAGTCCAGAATGGGATTCACATATCACATAGATCACAGAACACTGACTGACCCCCTACCTCTTCTCTCTACAGTCCAGAATGGGATTCACATATATCACACATATCACAGAACACTGACTGACCACCATACCGCTTCTCCCTACAGTACAGAATGGGATTCACATATCACATAGATCACAGAACACTGACTGACCCCCTACCTCTTCTCCCTACAGCCCAGAATGGGATTCACATATATCACACATATCACAGAACACTGACTGATCTCCCCTACTCCCATCAGTCAACAAATCTAGTATGTGTATATGTCATAGGGTGTGCATCTTAAATCGGGATAAATAATTAGAAAATTTTTCTTTTTGATAGAATTTTGTATTTTGTAACTTTTTTTATCGGGTTTACTTATCCCATTAATGATTCCACGGTTTCATTTCAACTTTCAGTGAAATGCCCTTCACCTCTTAAAAACAGAGACTTTGTTACACAGCGTTCCTGGCTTGATCTTGGGTCAGAGTTTTGTATCCTCAACCATTCTGTAAACCATGCAGTAAGTAATTAAACAGAGATGTAAACTCACTGATCTTGACCTGATCTCAGGGTCAGAGTTTTGTATCCTCAACCATTCTGTAAACCATGCAGTAAGTATTTAAACAGAGATGTAAACTCACTGATCTTGACTTGATCTCAGGGTCAGAGTTTTGTATCCTCAACCATTCTGTAAACCATGCAGTAAGTATTTAAACAGAGATGTAAACTCACTGATCCTGATTTGATCTTGGGTCAGAGTTTTGCATTCTGTAACCATGCAGTAAGTGTTAAAGCAGAGGCTTTGTAATACATTCTTTCTGGCTTGACCACAGAATCACTTTTGTTTTCTCAACCATTCTGTTGACCGTGCAATAAGCATTGCCCTGACTGACCTCAGGATCAGAGTTCATTTCCTCCACTATTCTGTTAACTATGCAGTATGTTGTAAGTATACAAACATAAACTTAGTATGTAAAAAGATTTCCAGCAGAGAATTTCAAATAGATGAAAGTTTGCCATATTTCCTTTTCTGCTCATTTTATATATGACACATGAAGTGCTACATCACATAGTGATATCTTGATTCTGATTGACTTACACCCTAGTTCCATCAAATGATAATGATGTGCATATTCTTGCATACCTGGGGGCTGCCACTTTTGGTAATTATGCACGAATCATTTATGGGCTTTTTTGGGTCTAATAATGGGTTCCATCCCAGATTGAAATGATTTAATATTTAAGCGAAAATCCCCAAATTTGCAATTTAGAAAGTTCAACAATTTTCTTCCCAAAATAAAGCAAAAATGCCCCATCTCATACCAGTGAAAAAAATTCCTGAAGCAAAAGTTACAGAAATATCCCTTGTAATATTAGAGTTAGTTATATTGATCAGTTTTACTCCGATACAGAGGACAAACATTTTGTTTATAATGACACGGAATGAAAGACCTTATGTGTGTGTAGTTGGGCTACATCATGGACAGTATGTACTACTTGGCTTATGTACTGGCAGCACATTAGGATGAAGGCATCTTCTGTAACATTTTGATCTTAATTAATCTAAATAGCCCTAAATCTATGAGAATTGCTTGAAATCTGTCTTGTAGAGTGTGATATTTTATGCAAAAAGTCACCTGTGAAATTTTATTTTCAGAGTATTCCTGCCAGGAAGGGATTTATTAGAGGTATCTCCTATATTACTGGCTATCTGATAAGAAAGCAGGACACGTACACCTGCCAGTTTAACTATGTTTCACACTCGGATCCTAAAGGTCAGTACGGTCTGCCTGTGATAGCAATACGAGCAAGAAAAAAAATTGTTCTTGGTTCATTTGATTTTGTCTTTTTTTTAATGAATAATTTTGTTGATTGTCAATTCTCAACTGATCAGGAAACAGTATTTGTTTTTAAAAACGGATTTTATATTTCCAGTATCCAATATCTTTAGATTCAACTAAGTATATGTCTAAAATATTCTTCATTGTAATGAGTAAGGTTTAGTCCTATACAATGTTACTGTCATGTCCTAACAGCCACGGAAGAATTCGTTACATCATCCAACTTCTTTGTAAATTTCTAAATTCATGATCTACACTAATTGAAAAGGCATTTTTGAACATTCATTGTAACACCAGCAATCAAGGGAATTTGGAATTTGTGAAATTCAGATTTTCAAATCAAAATATCTCACTGTAAATGTGTCATTTTACATGTTATTTTGTAAAAATAACATTTTTTGTCTAAGTAGCTGAAATTTATTGTTGTGTCCATTAAATGGTATTCTAGATGAATTACAGTTAAGTATTATACTGTTTTGGTATACATATAATGTTTTGTTTCTGTCCATCAGGAAAACTGCCAGTATGGGCGGTCAACAAGGCTACCCAGATCCTTGCTCCTAAGGTAAGGTCATAACTGTGAACTCTAATCACATACACTGGTTGAGTGTGTAGGTGAGTGTTGGTGTAGGGAGGGGGGATGGACGGGTGTCTGTAGGTAGGGATGTAGGGGTTGGTGTGGGTCAGTGTGTAGGTGCGGGAGGGAGAATGGATGTGGGTGTTGGTGCGGAGGTAGAGGTGGTTGGGTGTGGGTGCGGAGAGAGGGAATGGACAGGTGTGGGTGTGAAGGTTGGGATGAGTTGGGGTGGGTGTGGTTTGGTGGGTGTAGTTGGGTGTGGGTACAGGGAAACGGGATGGACAGGTGTGAGTGTGGAGGTTGGGATGAGTGGGTGCGGGTGGGTGCGGGTGGGTGCGGGTGGGTGTAGTTGGGTGTGGGTGCAGGGAGACAGGATGGGCGGGTGTGAGTGTGGAATTGGGTGTGGGTGGGTGTGGATGCAGGGAGACGGGATAGATGGGTTGAGTGTGGAGGTTGGGATGAGTGGGTGTGGGTGGGTGTGGGTGGATGTAGTTGGGTGTGAGTGCAGGGAGACAGAATTGATGGGATGAATGTGGAGGTGGGTGTAGTTTGGTGTGTATACAGGAAGAGGAGATGGATTGGTGTGGATGCAGAGGTGGGGATGGGATTTGTGGGTGTAGGTGGGTGGGTAGGTATGGGTGCAGAGGTGGGGTTTGGTGTTGTGGGGATGATGGTTGGATTGTTTCTTACTTTTGGTGTTATATAGTTGCTTTACATCCTTTAACATCATGGGTCATTTAAGGATGACCTCCCTCAAATTTACCTGCGGTGAGTGTAGGTGTTACTCTATCTATCAATAATCCAAAATATCAGGTATGAATTTGACTAAATATGGTATACAGGGTTTTCCTGTCCTACAGATACGGGAAGTTATATGTCCAAAGAGTGTATCTCATACCTTACCACAGACTGGAGTGTTTGTGACCCGAAATAAGAGAGTGACTTAATTTATAACACCCATCGGATTTTTAAGATTTGTTAGCTCCTTTTCCAGGTCCACACACCTTTTACTCTGGGGTTTATTTCCATCTTGTCCCATCACTTCCATACCTATGTGACCTGTGTGACCCTACCTTGTACTGTTTATTGTTACCCATTTATACCTCTGCTCCCTGTATTTCACTGGGCTTTCCCCACTACTCCTACTGGGTTATACACTATCAGAACTTCAGTATTTCAAGTGTTCCAAGTTTGATACAGATTAACTCATTTGAGTTGCACAAAGTAATGACGGATATAAAGTGATGATATCATCAAATTAGATATTGTATCTGTCTAAAAAAAAAGTGGTAATTTCACTTAAAAAAAGTGTTTATGTTTTGTGATAGACAGAAATTTTCCATTTCAAATGTCATAGGACTTGATACAATGAAAAATTGAAGACTGGTTTCTTAAATTTCACATACCTGGTATGTGGAAATTTGTAATATCCTCTGTAAATATCTGTACACTGTAGTATATTACTTATTGCTACATAGTCCTCCAATTGTTCTTACTAAGTATCAAGGGCTTTGATCTATTTTTAATGTCACAGGGGTAAAAAAAAGTCAGAAACTTCCTCAAGTTTCAGATGACCCAGGGTACTGATATATGACCAGTAGGTGAATAATATCTGGGTTGGAGTGCTATAAAATGACCTTGACCTAATTTGAAAGTCAGAGTGGTAAATTAGGTTGAAAAATTAAATTTTCAAGTTTCAGAAGATCAAGAGTATTAATATGTGGTCATATCAAAACACTATTTCTCTAAAACCAAGTATTAAGAGCAATTATTATTAGTTATATGACCACAGGCACTTTATATCATTTGTTATGTACATTGGCACCACAAACATTATAAAACACATGATGATTTTGTGGCATTCTTTTCTTTGTTATCATTGTGAACCATACAGGCCCTCTTATCCTCTTGTTAACCCCACCACCACCTACCCAACATCCCATCCTATTCCTCCACCTTCCCACCTAAAAAACGTGAAATAATTATCTTGAAAGTCAATAAAAATGAACATTGTTAGATATTTGAAATATGTGCATAAAATGAGTATTTTCCTATATGATAAAGCAGTACAATAGTGAGTAGTGGTTCTGCTGTACTGGTAATTATGTGGTGGTCAGACACCTGTACAAATGCAAGTGTGATCAATACCTGTAGACTGTTAAATTGTGGTCTGTACCAAGGTAGGAGTTGTGTTCCTGATATCCTGTGTGGCAATAGTGATATCTATCTGTCATGTGCAACACCTGTTAGGTAAATAGCTGGAAAATGATACTAGGGAGGTGTGAACAGTTAACTAGATAACTAGGGAAGTACTTGTAAAACGTAGTCATGGATATATATCAGAGTTTGAGGAACACAGGGCTCCATGGTATACAATAAAATCTTACTGTTTTACGTAGGATTAATTTGGCTGATATCCTGGATACTCTTAAAGCATCATTTCATATATATAATTGTAGATTTCTTGAGTACTGTTAATCCACAAAATCAGGTGCCTGTGAAACTATAGGATTTAATAGTTCAGCGGTATGAGCTCATTATAACGGGTTATTTGTGGTTTCATTTGCCAAGAATATATCAGAACACAGTCATGATCAAAGCAGAAGGGGCATGTTTACGGTGTTCAAATAATCTTTGAAAAGCTGAAGTCTACTAGCAATTAGTGGAGATAATTGGATTTCTACGGCTCATGTAGCTATAATGGTCTTTCAGGATAAATTAATGACTTCCTGGTCATTTTCATCCAAATTTTGTATCCATTATTAGTGTACAATTTAGTCGCATGCATATCTCAAAATGTGTCTTAGCTACTTGTAATTATAAAATCAACATAGCATTGGTGGAAATCTTATTTTGAATAAGGATGCTTAGAATCGTATTTGAGATGTTAGGTCAAAGGAAAAATGAAATGATTTTCTTGTTTAATGCCTTCAATTGATAACAATTGGATTTTTTGGATTTTCTCATTTTCTGTTTGAATAGGTAATAAGTAGGATTTACAAAGCATGTAAGAACTATGAGGCATGGAAAAGCATGAACAATCCATGCATGAAACCCTGGCTGTATCCTGAGCAAATGACCCTGCCAAGACTTGACATGACCCAGATCAAATCTGCTTCTGAAATAACCTCAACAGAGTCTATAGACGAAAGTTTTATAAATGAGGATGAGATAAACGAGGATGATGTATGAGGATTGTGGATTGTTAGATCAGTCTATTTATTGTTAACCAAGCTGTATATATAGCGAGCTCTCAAACTTAAAGTGAGGTCATCATAGTAACATAAGGTCATCAGGGTTCACACAATATCACGTAGAGAGTGGTAGCGAGTATGTTGTTTTATTTAGTCAATTCTCATAGAATATTAGTTTGTAATTTTTGTAAAACTTTGTTTTAAAATCAAGACCTGCTGTTAAAATTTCAGTATTCAGATATATAACTCCATAAAAATATGGACATGTATGCCATATTTTTCTAAGACAAAATATTTAGAGACGTTAGTGATGATTTTTATGGAATTTGAATCCAATAAGGCAGGTTTATCAACATTTTCATTCAGTTTTTAGATAGAAACTCAATTTGAATGTTTTAAATATAAGTAATAATGTATAAGTAAATAGATGTAAAAATTGTAAGAATTTGGAATGTAATTCCAATTCTTCTAACTGTTAAAAGTTGGTTTTAAATGAAAAACATTTGAGACATTTTTTAAAAAATTGTATTACAAGCATTTGAATTTAGTATATATGATGTTGCCTTCATGGAAAAGCACGTCAAGACTATGGTTAAAATGTAAGGGAATGATATCTTTTATAAAGGCCCACTTTTATATGCTGTAAGGTAATAAAACCTCCTGTGCTAATGTGTGATAATTTTGTCCTATCCAATCTGTCTTGTACTTTAAGCCATTTTTGGTTCAAAGTCTTGGTAAAAAATATGACAATTGCCATTTCCCTCCCCCCTCCCTCCACCCAAAAGCAACAAGAGAGAAATTTTGTCATATTAAAGCAGTTTGAAATCAAACTGCATTATGGGCAAATAAATGATGGTTTTTCATATTTTTTGGTGATCGATTTTGCTTGAAATTCTTTAACAGCAAGTGAGATGAGTTGGCGAGTATTGGCTCAAGACAGAAATACATTCATTTAGGGCATTTCAAGGTTCAAAGCAGCTATACCCTGTAGTATGAATGGCATCTAGATGAAAAAGTTTTATTTTTCTAAATTCTAAAGTGGTTTTGGTTAAGATTACTCAGTACATTGTACATCTGTTTATGGTGAAGGCACTGGTTGATTTGAATACCATGATAGTACAGTTTGATGTATCAACAATCATCAATGTTTCATCATGTTCTTTAGCAATTTACAACACCTTTCATTGATAATTCAAAATTTCAACAAAATGGTGCATGACAATCAACTTTGAGAGGATTTCATTATCACTTTAATGATCTTTAAATTGTCCAACAGTATTGATAACAATACACTAGAAAGTTGTGGGAGAATTTAGTAGTTGTTTAGAAGAACGTTTTAGTGTTATTTAGACAGTGATCATCAAAATATGAAGGGAGATAAGTAGCAAACAAAATCTTGGTGAAAGGTATCATATTGTTAATACATAAAAATCATTACCGCTTTTACATTTATTTATAGTAAACATTTAAAGCAAATTTGAATATATGAATTTTAATGAAGCATCCTTTGGTAGGAAGTATCTTTAAGAAATAATAAATAAACTGTTTGATCATACAGGTATATCCTAGCTATTTAAGTAAATGGTTAAATTAATATCTTGTACTGTGTTTACCTGTTGGAATATGTGCATCCAAACACCTCTTGTTGCTCTGTTACCGTATTAAGAAATAGTAATTTGCATTGGTTGTGCCAACTCTCTACAACTCAACATGTAGAAGATAAATCCTAGGTTCTGTAAGAATATTCAGTAATTTTGAAGCTATTAAACAACAAAATATTATCATAATGCTGATAAAAATGGTACACTAAACTTTTAGGTCTCTCTAATTATGATAATTATAAGGTAATTAGTAATTGCATAGGATTTTATTTTCTCAAATATTTATGGAATAATTAAATAGGTTACAAAATTACAGAAGCTTTATTTCTTTATAAGCTAATAGCATAAACATTGTGCCATTTGCTCTGGATATAGGTCTTGTAAATGTACATGGTACCGTTAGTGAAATGCAGTTTTGATGTCAAACATCTACAAACGGAGTCAAGGACTTTGATATCATCATAACAGTATTTTTTTCAGCTTTTGTAATGTACAAAGGTTAAAGTTTGAAAGTAATTGTTGGAAGTGAGTGTGATATATTAAAATGAATTGTAAGACAGGAATGTTTTTCATCATTCTATAATTTTTTGTCAGAAGAATCATGACTATTTATTTATAAGACGCATGACATTCTTAAATACCTAAAGCCAAAGATGCTACAACAGTGACCTGATTGTGTTAATATAATGACATTGTGTACATAAAAGAAGTTCTAACCTGACTTATATGTAAATATATTTAAAGGTTATACTATATAATAACCAAGAAATACACATAATCTTGAATCTTATTTTCAAATTTGTGTATTTTTTATATTTCTTTCATTAAAATCGAATTCATTCCATAATTTTCCATTGATAGAAATTTTGCCAATTTTTTCTTTAGATCTTTCAAAATCAATTTTTGTCTTTGTAATTAAATTTCTTCTTGCATTGAACTTTAATGTAGATTTTTTTTTTCCCAATTTGTCTCTCATATATTGAATTTGTCATTCAATGGCAAAAGTTACATGGAAGCAGCATGTCTGTATTTTGCTGCAGGCTTTGTTTTAACTGTTCTTTCTGTAATCTTTATTCACATATTGTTGTTTTACAAGTCAAAAACAGGAATATTTTTCTTCAGCTTTTTAGATCATTTGACTAAATGTCAGAAAGGTCAAAGTCAGGATAACCTTCTTGTCATTGTTGTTTATAGTAGTCATCTGTTGTTTATAAATTTTTCACATTTTAAACTTCTCCTCAAATCCCATTTGAAAGATTTTTTTTAGTGGTCTGATCCTGAGGAAGTATAGTTATATTTTGGGTCAGTCAGAAATCCAATGTGGCAACCACTTAGAAAAACATTTTAAAATTCTTTAGTAGCTCAACTGGTGCAATTGAGCTGAAATTGACAGGAAAGTAAAGAGAAGGATGCTGACAAAGTGCTGTTACGTTTTGGTCCGGTAAAAATGTTTGACAAGACAGCAATGGTGGCTATTTTGTAATACGATTGCTTATCACATTTGTAAACTTCATCTCCTGGTCCACCTATTGGATTTAGCTCAATCATGCTGGAGTGGATCCTTAAACAGTCCTGACTAAGTTTGGTTATTTTTTAGTGTTGGCAAATAACCAAGATTGCTTCATTCCTTATTGATGAGCATCTTTAGAAAAAATAAAAAAAAAAAAAAATTAAACTTCTTCTCCAGTTCCACTAATGTTATTTAGCTGAAAATTGTTTGAAAGCATTTTGCAATTTTTGTTACCTTTAACACTGGAAAAAGTTCACCAAATACACTGCGAAATTTATATCTTAAATTGTTTTGTTTGTGGTTACGTAACCTTGATAACTCAGGCTTTATTACAGTAAAGTCAGATGACGGTTGAAATTTTTGGGGAACTTGTTTGAATTCCTCTAATTAATTTCATTTTTATTACGTAAATATGAAAATTGTGCTTCCAATTTGTACCTAAAGGTAGTTATGGTAATTATAACAGTACAAGTGAGATGTATGTGGCACTATATGGTGTCAATAAATTTATTAAGCTACACAATGTTTGTTGATATCTAAAGAAAGACTCCTGTCTCCAAGCTGTGTATACCATTTCGTTTATTTTCACATTTGAATAGTATTTTCAGACTTGTAAATAACTCGAGCAATGGTTCTGCTACATCAGTCATTTGGAATCAATTTTGAAAACTTTCCTGGCATTTCTCTTCTCTTAACTCAAACAGACCTACTTAATTCATGGCTTTTACCTTACTGTACAAAATGTAATCAACCAGATGGACTCCACTAATGTTTTGTTGGGAAGGCCATTGATTGATACTTATGTAGCACTATTGTCAATCATATAGATTTCTTAACATATGTGTAACAATTTTTTTACATTAAATACTAGAGGCTGTAAATTAAGCACAGATTTCTGTATGCTGCTGATTGTTAGAATAATACTTTTTCAGGAAATGAAAATTGAAAATTGAGCCCAAGCCGTTTTGGACTAATGTGTGAATTTTTTTTCTGTTAATGAATCGTTACATTGTTCGTTGGGCTAGCATTTTTTTTGTGATTTTTACAAGAAAATTCTTGTACTGAAAATAATTGATATGAAATCCTTATGTTATACAAAATTAATATACATTTTAACAGTATGTACAGTAAAAGCTTTATACACATAGCAATATTTTCCCCTAACTTTATCAGGACTGAACCCAGTCCTGATGTTGGAAAAATTGACATTGTGTAAATATTATTGAAATCCATTTTTTTTGCCATTTGTTTTTCTTTCAAGCCTTATGGCTTATAGAGAAGACAGTCAATGAATTGTTTTTTTTTTTTTTAATGAAAAGAAATCCATCCAATGTTATACAAATTTATAATGTATCCATTTGATAATATATTACATGTATGATAGTGTGATATGGTATTCTGTTATTGAGGGTTTGTGAAGTAATGTTTACATGATTTAGATTTTGTGATGACAGTTAACTTCAGAGCCATTCCACTTAGTGTAATGCTGAAAGTTCTAGCTTCTTCGTTTTCATTTGACTTATAAAAATTCTAATGGTTGATAAGACAGACGAAAATTTGTTTGGGACCAATTTGAACACAGGGAAAAAATTCCTGGCAGTTAAGGTTGATTTGTTACATACTCATTACTAATAAATAAACACGTTATTTTATAAATATTTACTAGTCCATTGTGTGTTGTCTATTTTTTCTTCTACACAAATTCGGAAATTATAAATGAATTTATTTGTACTATATATAGATGTATTTGAAAACTGTATTTAAAAGTTGAGATATATATATATTGCAATTAGCCTTTTATTAACAATTTTTCTAATGTTGTGTAATGTTACAAAATATCTATGTAAGCATACGAGGTCATTTTATATCTGCCTGGTTAACCCAAAGAGCTGTTTACTGACAATGATTTTCAATGAAAAATACAGTGTATTTTTAATGGCATGATTAAGTTGATATATACAGTAAATTTATCTCAATATATAATGTGCAATACGTGGTTGAGATTTTATTGTTCCTTGCTTTCTTACACATACTCTTAATTAGGAGATTGTACAACGTTATATATTTCTAGCAGAAATGGACACAATTTTAAATATTTTTCTTTAAAAGCTGTGTTTTCTTGGGAGTACCTCTGGATATATATATTTGTACACTTTTGTTTTCTGATGATACTACTTTAATCAATGAAAAAACTTTTTGGAATTTCTCCAAGGATGCAATGCTACATGTACAAACATTTTCCCACTGTAACCTGAGTGTGGGATTGAGTTGTTGATTTTTTTTTCTTTCCATGAAAAAAATATTTTTCAAGATTGCGCTATGATCACCAATGAAAATGTGTTTGGATTCTGTGCTGTTCAATGCTGATCAAGTACCCAGTAAATGGTTACATCATCTTTGTGATGACCAAGTGAACCACAAGACTTTCCAATTTGTGTGGATACAGTGACAAAGCTAAAACTGAAAGTGAAACTATGTACAATGAAAGGTATGCAAACAGTCTGGAATAAAATACACAAAATGATTACAGATCCGGATTAAATTGAAAATTCTTCAAGAGTTGATATCAAAGATGTAAATTATGATAATATATATATATCTTTTAACAAAGCATTCTTAACTACACATAAATTATCTGTTGCCTGAATTAATCAGAGGAATTACTCCATTGTTGATATGTGATGAAGGATATTAATGTGACTGAATTCCATGCCCGGTAAATCTGTTTGACCTTTGTAAACGTATTGATACATGTTTTACTTAAATATTGTTTCAGCCTGAATCCAAATATAAACAATCAGAGTTAAAGTACAATGATATATCGTCTGTCATCAGTATTAACTATTTCCTTATTAGGACATAGGTAGTGTAAGTAGTTATCAGCATAATTAACTTAGTATCAATTATGTAGGGTATAAGTTTAGAGGGCACGAAGGTGATACTTACCTGTTAAAATATTCCTGGATATACTATCACATTTATGAATCATATTTTAATTTCAAACTGATTTTTGATTCAGTTCTGATTTTGATACTGACAATATAATGTAAAATGTTTGTAATATGTAAAGATAATAGACTTGAAGTATGTTACAAATTGATGCAGATATACATACTGCTGTTCAAGGTGTCATATGAACTGGACATTTTTAAAGTCTTAAGTTTACAAAGTGAAATATTTCTTGAAGTCAAGGAAAGGAAACATTAGGTTCTTTGTTTGTTCAATTGAAGCATGCAAACAATTGAAAATGTTTAATAATGAGGGACATTATTGAGATAGAGTCTGGTGTGACATTATAAAGTTTGTATCTACCTTTTGTCAAGAAAAAAGCATCATGTGGTTCTGGTCAAACATGTACATTGTACCATTTATGTTTCATTTAAAACACTCAAATAAATTGATGACATTTTCAAATGTGATGTCTTTTTTATTGTTTGAAAAATCCCATCTCTTCAAAACATTTTGATGACTGCAATGAATCTCTGATATTAATAGAGATATCAGTTTCCTGAAGTGATAGAAGTCCTTCATGCTAGAATACATCATAAGCTTTTTCAAGAAATACAGATATAGCATAATTTTTTCATAGCATGTTTTTAACCTCAGACGTAATTCTAACTAGGAAGTCAAGTGTCGACTTGTTGTTCCTAAAGCAGCTCTGATTTTTGTTGATTATGTTGAAACGGGGAATATTAATTTGGGTTTGTTGGTTGGTCCGTTTGTCTGTCTGTCACACTTTTGTTTCTGTGTTCTAACTTCCCCAAATATCATCCAATTTGGGTGAAACTTGGTTTGCAGATTCATCTTGGGGTCAATAAGACTGAGCTTGACTATCAGTGTCATCTGTTAATAAAAATGCATACTAATGATTTTGATTTCATTGGTCGGTTCATTGCTCTAACTTCCCTAAATATAATCCGATTTAGATGAGACTTGGTCAGCAGATGCATATTAGGGCACATAAGACCGAGAACCTCTAAAATATTCATTTACAATATGTTTGGAAAGCTGGTGATATAAATTCCATGAATTTGCTTGTTTATCCAAGTAGTATTTCAGTCTGTTGTTTATCATTGTTTCTAGTGTTTTACATAGGTGGGAGGTCAAGTCAATAGGTAGGATGCTGGTATTTCTCTATCTTTACCCAGTTTGTGGATAGGTATAACAAAGGCACTATTCCAAGACTTGGGGTAGGAAGCTGATTTCCTTATTGTGCTGTATAATTAACACTATATAAACAATGTTTTAGAATCAATGTGGTAAAAGAAAGATTATCTATGCCAGGGCAGTACTTTTTTTGGGGCTGTTCTGAAAATGGACGGTTTAAGCTCATTTTTTTTACCAGCATCTTTAATTATATTTCTGATGTTGTGATTTTTTTATTTTCTAAAAATTCATTAGTGCATTGTTCAAAACTATAAGTCTTCTCTGCACTTTTTCCTAAAATAATGGTCTTGTTTGGTTTTCCTGACTATTCTGTTTATATTTATTTTTGGTTATTCTGTTACATTTTAAATCAACTTCTGAATTATCTTTCTTGCATTTACTCTCCCATCTACGTTTGATGTGTTTTATTATGGTGCAAGCCTCATTCCACCAGGGGTTGTTTTCTGTGTTGGGGTTTCCCTGTGGTTTTTGGAATGCACTTGGATGCAGTATTAAGGTTTACTATGTATTTGTCTATGTCTGTGTCTTGTATGTTGTTTATTGTGATATTGTTACATCAGAATTCATTCCAATTAGCTTTAGAAAATATCCAATTTTTAGGGAATTCACTTTTGTTCCTAATAGGATGGAGAAGGAAGAAAAGTGGTAATAGTGGACATAAAACTGTTAAATAAATACTGGATTAGACAATGAGATCTGTCTTTACTGACACTAGGAATCTGCTGTTTACGTTGGGTAAGGCCAGGTTTCACTGTGATAGAAGACAAAAACCAATTTATGTTCCAAATGGCTGCATTTCTTGCTTTATTTTTTGTTTCATCACGGCACAACATAAATATTCATGATAAAATTTACACATTACATCAATATTATCACATCATTCATGCTTTACGCATCAACTAACACCCCCTACCTATCTACACAGTAGCTGACTTGGGCAGACACACACAAGTATCTCTATATTTTATACAAAATTATGCAACCATTCCAGAAATCTAACAGTAGAATGTACAATGTATCTAATGAGAATGACTTCAAATCCAATCACACCACAGGAAGGAGGATTCTAACATTTAACAGTGTAATTATACACAGCTAACTCTAAAATCAGACTTTACATACAAACATTGTACCTACTGTTGAAGACTTTCTTTTGAATCCTTCATATCAATGGGGAAAATACTACTCAATTGAAGTACTCAGTGTAATTATTAACAATTAATTCTACAATTAGACTTTACACAAGAAAACTGTACCTACTGAGAAAGATTTTAAAATCTTTACACCACTGAAATAAAGATACTTATGTGTAGTGTACAGACTAGTTCTAAATTAAAACTACTAAATATCATGTATATATAAATATCTATGATTTCTGAGATATTCTCTCCTTCATATTTGTTGATAAATTCATTACTTTTTGTTAACACCCCAGTGTGTCATTAATTGATATAATTCAAGACCAACTTATCGTTCGGGAGTATGGAACTCTTTTGGAAAGAAGGTGCATTACCTTAATTAAAATAGCCAAGGAGAGCACCCTATCTTTAGTTCTGTTTACAGGTACTGTGGACAGTGGAAAGTTTTCTTTTTTAATTCTTTGATCAAGCAATGTGTTAATAAATCTGGGACATTTTGTTTGAATTTCATAAAAAGAATGCATTAACAGCTGTAATTTTAAGAGATATAAAACTTGTGTAAAATTTAAACTATTCCCAGAAAGTGTGAACAGACTGACATTCATCGTACAAAACAAATGAAGCTATGTATAATTTACATTGAGACAGAACATATTACATCTATTGACTGTCTCATATTTCTGTCAGACCTAAATAAATCTCACGACTCCCATAACATGATTAACAGCAAAATCACCAGAACCTGAAACACATTGTCCACCCCTTCAAGGTCGACTAAAAACCTTTACACAACCTTGACATGAATGTGGCAGTGCTTTCTCAGTCTGACCACAGGTTTCAGAGTTTGAGCATTCTGAATTCACTTGCATGAAATCAACAAAATACTATGACCAGTTGCTAAATTTTCAATAGCCAAATTATACAACTTTGATAACTTTCTGCTATGTGGTTAAAGATGAAATGCATTTCTTAATATAGAAATTTTCAATGGACAAGATTTAATTTGTACCAGTAGGACAGATTGTGAAATTGAAAAAAAACTCAGATCTGAGGCAAATTCATAGTAACAAAATTCTTTCAAACAAACAAACAAACAAACAAATAACAATAGTAGGTGTTAGGAATGTTGCAACAGCTTTGAAATAAACACTTACTATATGTAAAACATTGCACAGATCAGTATGCTACATTAAATATGAAGGTCACGTTCTTGTATTAAATTTGCCGCAAAATCCTGTTTTCATCTAGACTATTTCCAGTTGTTTGTTGTCGCTTCTGCGTAACCCAGTTTAAATCTTTCAGGTGGCCCGGAATCATTTCTCGATAAACGAATGCAGTTGTACCGGCTATAGGAAATGATGTAAATCTCAAAATGCAGTATTTATGGAATATCTTTTCACATATAAAACAACGAACCAAAAATAAAATATGTGCCTACATCGACCCTGCTTGATGCTGAAATTCTTAAAAATTAGTGATATTAATGTTAGTTTCAAACACGTACAGCTCGACCCCTTGGATTGCACATGACAAATTTTTCATAGTAATTCCTCAGTCCTGATCTACATCTGGCATTTTTCTTGCAGGTTTAACTGGTCCAACTATTTCAACTGCTTCCGTGAAAGCAACTTTTTTCAACTTTCCATTTCTGTGAAACTGAGATTACAAGTCAAGCAAGAACATTTCTTATATGTAATCTTGAAAAATTTTTAAAAAATTGAAAAGAGAAAGATTTAAGAAAAATGTAGACAACATTAAGGCAGTCTTAAAATCATAGTAGAGCAATACCAGTGTAGTGAGAGAAAACACATTTACACCAATAACAGTGAGATTAACCATTGCTCTGTAAATTGTATACCTGAACTAATGATACAGACAGGGTGTTTTCTTACTAGCGATATGCATCTTATTAGCATGCATAATTCAAATATTGCTTTTTATGTATATGATATACGTATGAACTGAATGGATTTTACGATAGAACAAAATGCTGCAGACTTGATACATAAGGTTTAAATTATGATTATTCCTAGTTGTAGGTGTAAGCTAAGGACAATCTTTATCTATTAACAAGAATTGTTGATTGACAGCATACCATGTACCAGGTGCTATCAGAAATTTCTTCTAGATCTACAAATGACAAATTGTCATTCATCCATACATGCCCTACATACATTTTCAACTTGATTATTTAGAAATTCAACTCATAAACAATTACTAACAACCAATTATCTACAATATTAAATATATCACAGAAAAAAAACTTAATAAATGTACCTAAATGATACATAATCTTTCTTTAAGTACAAAAATAAAACAAATTTCAAATGATAAAATAGATAATAATATCCATTCACAAAGAGGTGCCACCAACCCTCATTTCTTACACCATATGTATTGGTATAATACAATTATCAAACATCTCATTCACCCAGATTCAAACATCCAAACGACTCAACACATTTAAACAAATCAGATTCAAATAAAATATAACAATCAATCCACAGTATTATCATCTACAGAGAGTGTACATTCAAAATTTTGTAGTTCTATTTGGTTTTACTATTCTGACAACCAGACACAAACTCAACATTGTATCTTTTAAATACTGGTAGTGGAATAAAATGAAATCTATTTGTACATGATTTTGATACAGAATAAGCATGATTTAAGGGTTATATAGGTTTTGACACAAAAAATAACAAATAATTGCTAGTATTATCTAACTGTAATTTCAATTAGACTTCAATTAGACCATGCATCAAATTCCATTGAGATTTCATAAGACTGTATTTCTTTATATCAAAATAACTAAATCCAAAAGGAGATATTATATTATGAAATTTTATAATACAAGCAAGATTATATGTATAACTGCTTTTAATTAAGTTATATCAGATATTGTTTACACAGAGATATATACATTTTTGTCAGCACTATAAACTGGTGACAGAAAATCATTTTATGGAGCATGCAAACCCGTAACTGATTATATATAGATAAGTATTTTTTATATATCAATCTAAAAGGAGCTATATTTTCTGGAGTATTTAGACTTAATCATATCTACTATCACATGATATAAATTACTATGGTGCTATTGAATACATAAACTTGTAGTAAACAAATAATTTTAATCACTACTTAAAGTACCTTTCAGCTTATCAATAAGTCAGTCTCAGAAATCTTAATTATCACAATATGCTAATTAGTGTTTCTTGCAGGTAACTTTAAGAGAATGTCAAGGTTCCCATCTTTCATCTCTCCACTTTTAACATCAACTGAAACCACCTTTGTTTATTAATTTCAAATTAATGTAGAATACCATATCAATCCAACAGTAAGCCCACGTACAGTAATTAGCCCACCCAAACTCACTAGTTTTAATAGAACAAATTCAATGTCATTTTACTATAAAGTGGTAAGCCCATCATCTTACTCTCAGTCAAACGACTATGTTTGACCTACAGGATTATTTCAAGCCAAATATGTATACAGTAACAACTATTTCAAGACAGACATTTCGGTTTAATGTATACTGCTGCTGTGTCATAATGAGGTTTATTTTATCCAGGTGAAACTTCATGACCATAATTTCTTAAGTAAAATCTGGTAAATGAAGCAAAATTCTCGCTTTCTTGTACAATAGACACACAAGTGAATAACACATTTAGATACAAATTAAGAATTTGATACAGCTGAGCTTAACAATGTTTTAAACAGCATCATACAGCTGTTTTGTCCTAGGATTTTTCAGTGATGTGAAGGGCCTAAATTTTGAAGCCTAAGAGGCCACTGAAGAAAATTCACAGTAATTGAAAGAAAAATTAAACCTACACAGGGTTGTGCACAAGTCCCATAACTCAATAAAATTGGAAGTAACCATATATCTGATAATTTTGAACAAAGTCCTTGACATGTACACATGTATATTCTGCACCATGCCACTATTGGAATGAATTAAAAAGTGGCACGCCTGCTGCTTAATTTGTGTGTCCATACAGACATCAGCTGGGAATGGTTTTAATGACTGAAATTTAATCTATTAACATAATTTATGAAAATTATATGTGCATATATTTGTTCAAATGGTCAAAGTCTTATAGTTGAACTTGAATTTGTCTATAAATTGGGGCTAGAACACAAAAATATGCAGAGCACCATCAACTATCACATAGAAATGTTATCGGTTATTTTGTGCTAAATCCTGGATCAAGTACGCAGTCTTTGTTTGGTAGTATTATGACAACATGGTATCCATTCATTCAAGCGCCAGATGTCTTCGATAATTACTCAGAAATGCGTATTTATGATAAATATGATCAAATTCATGTTTATTGCATTATAACTATAAACACGGATATTAAAAAATCTCTACCCTTTCACACAACGTCTATTAACCATACGTTTTACAACATAAAAACATTGTTGCTTTGGCTACCTTGAATATCAAAATTTTTTTTAAAGTAACATTCCCTTTGTCTTCCTTGTTTAAAACTGTGGTAGAGTGGTTGAACAGCTGATACAATTTACCATTTAGCACTTCATAAGACAAGCCATGATCTGTAGCAGTATGGCCATAGCACTTCCAGTGACGATCCTCGCCTTTTTCTGATTTTGTGTAGATGATGAGACTTTCTCAGATGAAAATGTAATAGTTACAACTATTGTTACAATTCAATAGATTTTCCAAATTAAGAAAACAGGATACACTTTATCCACAGGCTGTTCTTCAGTTGGAAAGGTTAAATACATGTATGCAAATGATGTGGCTGAATTCACTACTCACAGAGACACACGACAGTGTAGTCACACATACAGACAGGTCAGTAATCACACAGGCTAGAGTGATATCTCATGTGTCAACAGCATTGAGTATATGTCATATGAAAGTAACAACAAAAAGTTAACTTCACAATTACGTTTGAGATGATATGGAAAATCATCCACCCAATGGTAGGAGTTGTATCATTGAGTTGTATCATTGAGGAACACTATTCGTTTTGAGATCGTCTTCAGTCTAATTGAACAATATAGATTCTGGGTCCTGGTTTTGAAGCTGGGCAACATGGCGTAGAACATCTTTTTTGGTGATAATTCCTAAGAGACGACTGCAAAATAGAATTAAAAATATGATGACAAATACTGTTTATGCTTCATTAATTTTATCATGTAGGACTCTGTTCATTGAAGAACTTCAACATGTATCTACACACACAAATATGTCATACTGAAGCTGTTCATTTTGACAAATAATATATAGTCATGCCATGACGAATTGGTGGCCTGAAGTTTGGTTTGACTGAACACAGTGAGTTATTTAAAAACCATGTTTATTGTTATACATGCACAATAATCTTGAAGTTTTATCTCAATCCAAAAAAGAAACCAAACTATTTGTTTTCCAGCTTCTGCCCCCTAATCATCTTTAACATACATGGTGAGTTACAAAGACAACTCTCAAAAATCTCCTGATGTTACAACCAAAGCAGAGTCTTATACATGACATTACAGTCTGTTATTGTATAAAAGAATCACACAATGAACAGGCGAAAGTTTTCTCCAGAGAAAGCATTAGTTTGAAAGTCATCAGAACCCTGTTAAATATTCTAGCAGAGAACAAACGCTTGATAATCTGACAAACATACTACATTGTAAAGGGTATAAAAACAGGTACCAGGTTTTTGAAAAGTCAACTAATACATTCATGAAAGTTTGATTCTCAAATGAGTTTTGTAAAATGAACATATTTGTAGCATTCAACTGATTATTGTTTTCGTTCTTCTTTTTCAGAAAAGACAACATCAATGTTACCTATTCTATAACATGTTGCTTTCTAGTTTTGTGATTACGACTTTGAAAGATACTAGACATAAAATGTGTTACTACACACATGACTAGCAAACTTGACAGTCTAGCAGCTTCATAATTTTATACTGTTAGTAAATACAAAGTCTTGATTTACAAGGAGAATATAAAACTTTAGTAAAATCAAAGGTCACATTGGGGTATTACAGAAATTTGATAATTTAAAACTACAGTGTTTAATTTTGAATTTGATTAGTGTTTAACTGTGTGTTGACAGCAAGAGTGGTATGGGAAAAACTACCTTTGTTGATGACTATAGAAGGTAACTGTTTAATGTTTTAAGCTTAAAACCCAAAGATAATACATGGTACAAAAAAATAGGTGTTTGGAAAAACCCACATCTTTTGTTCGGAAAACTACCACAAAACAATGATCATGCCTAGTACAGCTCCTATTTTCTTAAAAAATCAATCTGAACAAAACTGAATATTTTATGCAGTTCCAGGGAGCTAAAAAGGGTTTTCAGATCCAGGAAATACCTATTGTAAATATGTGAAATATGTGAGCTAATTAATATCATGCTTGGAGTCTCTCATGATAGGATTGCATGTTGTATTGTATGCATTTTCATGTCAAACAACACCACAACCAGGTGTTCTTTAATGGCAAATGATGCTCAAATTAAGGTTTTAAGCCTAAGAAAATGGTCAACATGGCCCTGTCTATTCCTGAAATCACTTTGAAAAGGTGTTAGGATGCCATTTGCTTCCAAGAATTAAACAAATCTGGAGTTGGGCATTTTTTTTTCGAGGTTTCTACAAATGAAACTTATATACATACACATATTGGGTGATAATTGTTTGAGTCACTGGCATGTTTGGCCTTAGGACACAGTATTCCCAGGGATGCACACATTAGTATATTCTAACCAGAGTTTGAAAGAAGTCAATCAATAAGTCAATGGAGATGCTACCAGCTGATCTGTAATACAAGTAGCATAATACCACCCATCTAGTTAAGTCTGGAAGTCTATGTGGCATATTACAGACATAATCATACATAATTGACAGCCATACCCATCAATTACCAGGACCCCATTTTTAGGGGTCACAAGCAATAGCAAATAGTTTGGCCCAAGTTTGAGCTAACTGACTAGATTACACGTAGTCTGGTTTTTCAAATTAGACCTGGATCTGACATGAATGGACCTTACAGGAGCTTGAAGAGCTCCAGGCAGCAATGTTTCATTGGAACACACAAACCTCTTCTGGACCTCCCAAGAACAATAAAGTGCTGATTGTGATGTAATCAACTGGATATACAATGTACATTCAAAATTGTCACTGGGCTTTCAAAGTTTGTAATGTATTAACAAATTCAAAGTAAGAAAATAGTAAAAATAAGAAAAAGAAGTTTAAATGATTATTTTCTAAGTCCTGAATAAGAAATGGAAAATTGATCTACAAAAAAGTCTTGCCTCTAAGTATTAGTAATGTTCTATAATCAAAACCTATACCAGAAATTTATCATTGTAGTACACATTAAATGCCTGCATCATTTTGAAATTATTTTATTGAAATTGAATTTCAAAACATATCAATATGTTTAATATCTTTAAACATATCAAAACAAGTTCTGTTAATAGTTTAATGTCACAACATTAAGTGAACAAGCCTGCATGCATTGATAACACTGAGAAAGTTGTACCAAGGGAGACAACTCTGACACAAATTACTTGTTCAATGCATATTGTGAAATGTAGCATATTTCCTTAATAACACATGACACTGCAAAAATTATATCAATCAAAACTCTGGGAAAATGTCAGGTGATTTTAAAGGTTATTAAGTTGTTTATCATTATTAATTTCAAAAAAGCACACTATTAAATATGCACACAATATATATATTGGAAAAGCAATGAAATGTTACCCTGGCAACTCATGCGTGGGTTGATCTGTGTCTCTGTCACTTTTCTTAACTTTTCTCAACTGTCTGATGGATAATAACATACAGCATACAGATGTACATGGCTAATTATCATACGAAGAGGGGTTGGGGGTTGAATAATCATAAAAGGGGGCAAACATCCATACAGGGGGCAAACAAACTATACAGATGTACTTGGCTAATTATCATACGAAGAGAGGTTGGGGGTTGAATAATCATAAAAAGGGGCTAATTATCAGTAATCATACAGGGGAGGGGGGGGTTCAAACTTACATATAGATGTATATGGCTAATTATTATACAGGAGTGATAATCATACAGGGGGCAAACAACCCTACAGACATACATGGCTACTTATCAAACAGGGGACAGTCATACATATACAGGGGGGCAAACAACCCTACAGACATACATGGCTACTTATCAAACAGGGGACAGTCTACATATACAGGGGAGGGGGGGGGGTTCAAACTTACATATAGATGTATATGGCTAATTATTATACAGGAGTGATAATCATACAGGGGGCAAACAACCCTACAGACATACATGGCTACTTATCAAACAGGGGACAGTCATACATATACAGGGGGGCAAACAACCCTACAGACATACATGGCTACTTATCAAACAGTGGGTAAACAACCCTACAGACATACATGGCTACTTATCAAACAGGGGACAGTCTACATATACAGGGGGGCAAACAACCCTACAGACATACATGGCTACTTATCAAACAGGGGACAGTCATACATATACAGGGGGGCAAACAACCCTACAGACATACATGGCTACTTATCAAACAGGGGACAGTCATACATATACAGGGGGGCAAACAACCCTACAGACATACATGGCTACTTATCAAACAGTGGGTAAACAACCCTACAGACATACATGGCTACTTATCAAACAGGGGACAGTCATACATATACAGGGGGGCAAACAACCCTACAGACATACATGGCTACTTATCAAACAGGGGACAGTCATACATATACAGGGGGGCAAACAACCCTACAGACATACATGGCTACTTATCAAACAGTGGGTAAACAACCCTACAGACATACATGGCTACTTATCACACAGGGGACAGTCATACATATACAGGGGGCAAACAACCCTACAGACATACATGGCTACTTATCAAACAGGGGACAGTCATACATATACAGGGGGGCAAACAACCCTACAGACATACATGGCTACTTATCAAACAGTGGGTAAACAACCCTACAGACATACATGGCTACTTATCAAACAGGGGACAGTCTACATATACAGGGGGGCAAACAACCCTACAGACATACATGGCTACTTATCAAACAGGGGACAGTCATACATATACAGGGGGGCAAACAACCCTACAGACATACATGGCTACTTATCAAACAGGGGACTGTCATACATATACAGGGGGGCAAACAACCCTACAGACATACATGGCTACTTATCAAACAGGGGACAGTCATACATATACAGGGGGGCAAACAACCCTACAGACATACATGGCTACTTATCAAACAGTGGGTAAACAACCCTACAGACATACATGGCTACTTATCAAACAGTGGGTAAACAACCCTACAGACATACATGGCTACTTATCAAACAGGGGACAGTCATACATATACAGGGGGCAAACAACCCTACAGACATACATGGCTACTTATCAAACAGGGGACAGTCATACATATACAGGGGGGCAAACAACCCTACAGACATACATGGCTACTTATCAAACAGGGGACAGTCATACATATACAGGGGGGCAAACAACCCTACAGACATACATGGCTACTTATCAAACAGTGGGTAAACAACCCTACAGACATACATGGCTACTTATCAAACAGGGGACAGTCATACATATACAGGGGGGCAAACAACCCTACAGACATACATGGCTACTTATCAAACAGGGGACAGTCATACATATACAGGGGGGCAAACAACCCTACAGACATACATGGCTACTTATCAAACAGTGGGTAAACAACCCTACAGACATACATGGCTACTTATCAAACAGTGGGTAAACAACCCTACAGACATACATGGCTACTTATCAAACAGGGGACAGTCATACATATACAGGGGGCAAACAACCCTACAGACATACATGGCTACTTATGAAACAGGGGACAATCATACATATACAGGGGGGCAAACAACCCTACAGACATACATGGCTACTTATCAAACAGTGGGTAAACAACCCTACAGACATACATGGCTACTTATCAAACAGGGGACAGTCATACATATACAGGGGGGCAAACAACCCTACAGACATACATGGCTACTTATCAAACAGGGGACAGTCATACATATACAGGGGGGCAAACAACCCTACAGACATACATGGCTACTTATCAAACAGGGGACAGTCATACATATACAGGATGCAAACAACCCTACAGACATACATGGCTACTTATCAAACAGGGGACAGTCATACATATACAGGAGGGCAAACAACCCTACAGACATACATGGCTACTTATCAAACAGTGGGTAAACAACCCTACAGACATACATGGCTACTTATCAAACAGTGGGTAAACAACCCTACAGACATACATGGCTACTTATCAAACAGAGGACAGTCATACATATACAGTGGGCAAACAACCCTACAGACATACATGGCTACTTATCAAACAGTGGGTAAACAACCCTACAGACATACATGGCTACTTATCAAACAGTGGGTAAACAACCCTACAGACATACATGGCTACTTATCAAACAGTGGGTAAACAACCCTACAGACATACATGGCTACTTATCAAACAGTGGGTAAACAACCCTACAGACATACATGGCTACTTATCAAACAGTGGGTAAACAACCCTACAGACATACATGGCTACTTATCAAACAGTGGGTAAACAACCCTACAGACATACATGGCTACTTATCAAACAGTGGGTAAACAACCCTACAGACATACATGGCTACTTATCAAACAGTGGGTAAACAACCCCACAGACATACATGGCTACTTATCAAACAGTGGGTAAACAACCCTACAGACATACATGGCTACTTATCAAACAGGGGACAGTCATACATATACAGGGGGGCAAACAACCCTACAGACATACATGGCTACTTATCAAACATTGGGCAAACAACCCTACAGACATACATGGCTACTTATCAAACAGTGGGTAAACAACCCTACAGACATACATGGCTACTTATCAAACAGGGGACAGTCATACATATACAGGGGGCAAACAACCCTACAGACATACATGGCTACTTATCAACCCTACAGGGGTGAGGACCAGACAAGGGGAGACAATTACACAAACATACCATACAGCAATTAACATACTGGAGTCAAACAACTATACAGGAGTGAGGACCAGACAAGGGGAGACAATTACACAAACATACCACACAGCAATTAACATACTGGAGTCAAACAACTATACAGAGGTGAGGAGTAGACAAGGGGAGACAATTACACAAATATACCACACAGCAATTAACATACTGGAGTCAAACAACTATACAGGGGTGAGGACCAGACAAGGGGAGACAATTACACAAATATACCATACAGCAATTAACATACTGGAGTCAAACAACTATACAGGGGTGAGGACCAGACAAGGGGAGACAATTACACAAACATACCATACAGCAATAAACATACTGGAGTCAAACAACTATACAGGGGTGAGGAGCAAATGGGAAGACAATTTCACAAACTTTTCTATTTAATCATAGACACAGGATAAGCAGAATCACATCTACTTCTTTCTTTCTTTTTTTTTCTCAGAATGAAAATGCTCTACATTGAAACCTGACTTTACTGATAATAGCCCCTGACATACTGGAATATCTAACTATGCCATTTATGCAGTCATTAATGTCATTCTTTTCTTAACTGCATATGTTTCCCTTACATTGGTTAAGTTAGTTTAACTTTACCTGTTTTATCTGACCAAATGATAATGCAACCTCCTTATTTTCAGATAATATTAATATCATTAATGTCTTATTTTCTGACCAAATGTTTATTTAGTCATTGAATGTCTATTCATAGCTACAATTTCATCCGACAAAATGATTTTTCTTTGAAGCAGGAAAGCTAGAAATTTGACTCTCTAATCTGACCCAATGATTTTACCATCATTTCATGTCAGTATACTCAGGTTTACAATCAATACCTTGCATTCTCTAAATGTCAGTAAAGACAGGTTTTGCTGAAGAGAAGCATGTGTGTAATACATGATACTGACCCGTTATGTGTAACTAGTGTCTGTCGCAGCCCGAGTTTACGGAACATCTCCACAACCGTCTCCATTGGTGTCTGATCTGTGATGGTCACTGGGGCCTATACATACAGAACAAATCAATCTCAGTATTTATATACAGAACTTATAGCCATACTAGCAGTATTTATATACAGAACTTATAGCCTTACTAGCAGTATTTATATACAGAACTTATAGCCTTACTAGCAGTATTTATATACAGAACTTATAGCCTTACTAGCAGTATTTATATACAGAACTTATAGCCTTACTAGAAGAAAAATTTCACTATTTTTTTCTTTCAAATTTTGTTTCTAAAGAACAATCCAAAATTTCTTTCATGTTTGTTTTTTTATATTAATAATAATCTACCTGGTATTAGTTGGTCAGTTTTAAAAGAGTTTTTCACAAATCCAAAGCAGTCTCATTCTAAGATACAGTTAAAATATTTCAAGTGCACAGAACCTATTAATACTTGGAACTTGCATCTAAAGACTTGCTGTGCTGTTGGATCTTACCATGTCTAGGATTTTCCTCAGTTTGAGGGGGGCGGGGTCGTTTGGATTACTGGGTACATGACTGGTGAAATACACTATAGAACTGGAGACAATGCCCTCTTGATTCTTCCTCGAGTTTTCTGTAAAGATATAAATACAGATAACCACACAAATTTTCAAATATCAGAGAAAAGAAATAATTTTGACCGATAGCTGTCCCTTACCATTACTTACCTATAGCAAGGTTGACATCCCTACGGAGTACAAATCCAACGAGATACTGGGACTCGCGGGACACAACCACAGGGAAACCATTGTGATCGGAGGATTTCAATGTCGTTTCTGGAAAACACAGTATTTAATAGATACCATGAATGAATTCCAGAAAAAAAAAATCCTGTTTTAAATATTGTTTTCTGAATATTCCTGTTTTAAATATTGTTTAATATCATTTAAAGAAGTGGAAACTATTTTGCTTGAAAAATATTTCATATGGGTACATACTACAAAATTGATTCTAAAAACTATAACTTGTGTTGGCATATTCCCACACGTCAAAGCAATATAAATTTCATTATCCTGTCAAATCGCTATTCTGTGTAGGGAATGAAAAGGTCTTATTGGCATTACTTCTCAAAATATGATTGATGTGGGAGCATTATTACTATTGGGGTAATGTACAAGTAATTAAAGTATATGATAAAACCTATCATAAATTTAGAGCCAAAAGTTCTGTAATTTTGGGTCAAGTTTAGGGTCAAATTTAGGGTCAAAAGTTCTGTAATTTAGGGTTAAATTTTCTATGTAATTTCTGATGAGGTATTCATTTCATGAAAATGTTGTTTCACAATTTGCTTGCAAATTTCATCTGATAAAAAATGTTTATGCTGTGTAATTTTCCTAAACGCTTTTTTCTTTCTTAATTTTACATACAGATGCTTCATAATGAGGATATGATAAACTTTATTTATTAAAAATGAAGCTAGGGAAAAAAGTGAAAATTTTTCTACGACACTGACTCAAAGTGAAGGTGATGGTACATACTATAATTATTCTCTGTATGCCAAAGAAAATGCCTAGCCATATAACTGTCAGTAATTATATGACAATGGGTACAAACCTAGCTCCTCCAATGTCATGGAGTCTTGTGTGATGACACAGAGTGGAGGATCATTCCGTCTACAATATAAAATACAATCATTTAAAACATCCAGGGAGGATCTACAAACCGTAATGGGTATCATTATTCCTTGTAACTGAACTGTATCTGTATAACAATTCATATTATATCAAACTGAGCTTAAAATAGACTTAAAATGCTTACTAAATTTTATCTTAACTGGAGCTTATTTGTTAGACAATGTGATTGGAAAAGAAAGGAATTTTCTTTATAACTTTGGTTCTTAAAGGAAATTTTTACCTGCTTTTAGTCAAAAATTCTTTTTTTTTCTCATCAAGCTTAAGAAATTAAAAAGAATCAGTAAACGCCTTTTTCCTGGTATTTCATACATTCAGACTTTTAAGTTATAAAAATAAAAAGAAAAAGATTTACACCACATACTTTTAAACAAACATATATCTGGGGTATTAGTAGTGTTGGTATATTAGGTAGACAAACTGTATAAACTGTAGCTGAAATAGATGTTTGTGTTGGTCAGGTAAACTGACCGTGACATGACATGCTTGTGGAAACAAAAAGCCAACAAAGGATAAACACAAGGTTGTTATTACTAAAATAAAAACAGAGTGAATATCAACACAACAAAAAAAATATTCATGTCACAAACGCAACATGGATTTCTATATTTACATAAATTGCTATTTTCTTTTTATTCCAGGTGCATAAATTGAAAAATGCATCTACTCTGAAATATTTTAATAACATACAAAACATATTGATAAAGAAAAAAAAAAAAGAAATCCTTTTACAAGTTGTTGGTTAAGTCTGACTGTCAAAAATATTTTGTTTCATATGTTCACATGTTTTTTTTTTATTTGAGAGCAAGCCCTTTTGACATCTGCTGCCTGGATTAATTTGAAAGTAATCATAAGAGACATTTGATGACAGGCTTTCAAATCAGCCAGACAAGAAATATCTATGAGAAGGCTTACCATTGCTTTCATTTTACCTAACATATTGCTTAAATGGTGCAATACAGCGTGCTATATATTCAAGTGAAAAATCCTTTTAATAATCTAAGTGAATTTTTTTAACACTTTATAAGCAGATAAAGATGAAGAAGATCTGCACTTGTAAAATCATTGACACATATGCCAGTGCTATAAGGCTCATCTGATTCTTTGTTAACCTTACCTACCACTTGTAAAATCATTGACACATATGCCAGTGCTATAAGGCTGTTAACCTTACCTACCACAGAGATAGATATACTATTATTGTATCATACCTACATTTTTTCCCCCAAGGTTTATTGTGACATGCTGTCTGTACATAGATGATAATCCCCCCTCATCCAAGTATCCCATCTGATGGATAAGAGGGATTCTCTGTAATGAAGCCCGGAGGCTGGAGGGTTAAATATGCACATTGTCAACCTACTGGGTCATGCACCCAATAGGTTGATAATGTGCATATTTAACCCAAACAGCCGTAGGGCTGAATGGAAGAGAATCAATCATTTCCATGAGTGATTCCTCAAAGTAGCATGATTGAGTCCATCTCTTTGTGATCAGCCAAACAATATGTGGTTATATTTACCGGTGTGCTTTAAGACGAAGATGACCAGGGGCCAGCAGGATGCTGGGGCAATGATTTGATAAATTATTTATAGAGTTTTAGTCTCTCAATTTTCACCAATTAATTTACATTCAATTTCTCAAACAATGTTTTCTTGTGAAAAATGACATCATCATGGATAGATTAATCAGGATAAAAAGCATCAGTCATGTGGATCATACAATCAAACTGAACTAAATCAATTTCAGTTTTTACATTATGTAAAATCAATAAGGAAAAATTGCTTTAGTTTTATCCTATTTGTATATATACAGTTGAACCAGTGGGTCATCATCCCACACTCCAACCATAACCCCTACATCTATACTGCAGAGAATATACCGACATCTACAGCAAAAATCAGACAAGATTTGTTTTGTCAATAGTTCTATACTTCATGCCTCAAAATAAGTTTCTGATGAAAAATAAATTGAATAATTTCGGTCTTTTATTGATCAAACATCAATATTCAGTTACTGAAATCAATAACTACAACAGGTAATTTTTTCATAGGCCATCATATCTTTCCCAAGCTTTACATAAAATCACTTTTTTCCTTGTCCTTTCAAAAATCAGGGGGCAAATACCTTTTGATGATATTGATGTAATTTATTGCAATATTACATTTCCTTATTCAGATATCAGGATTCAAAGAAAATATTTTTCATGGATTCTTCGGAAAAAAACAAAATGATCTCATGATTTGATTTGATTTGATCTGTTTTAAGAATCCATGACTGTAACTGTTCTCAAAGAAGAATCCATGCTAACAAAATAGAAAGCCCTATTCGACCTAGTTATCAGATGTTATAGGTGAAATTAACATCGAACCAATATGCATTTCAACAACGAAAAATGAACGTTTGGATGAAGTTCTCAATATACACTATTGTGTTAGTGGTTAGTGGGGTTCTGAAGCCTGTATTCTATATAAATCATAACCTATATACACAGCTGTCATATATCATCAACATAGGCCTAAAATAATCATACTTGCCAACATTTCTTCCATTTTTATGCTAAAGAATAGTCACTTTATAGACGGCTTTTTGATAAATGAATCCCTTACAACATATCTCAATAATTGACCTCTGAACTTACTCAGTTTTTTATTTAACTATCTTCTAACTTAATTTGATAAGACTGATAATTCCATCTCAAGCTTAGAGCATTGGCAAGTATAAATGTGTATTCTCAGGTTATGCAACTCATAAGAACTTTGGTAGGGCAATGAGAATTATTTCTTAATTTATGCATTTAAGTTTTGTTGTTGGTTTAAAAAAGGTTTCAGTGAAACGCTGGAAATAAAGCCTTAACTTCTGACAATCAAATAAGACTGGCCATTATTGTCCAATATTACATTTAGGATATTTTGGTTGCAATGACACTGAACAGAAATAAGAAATTTACATACTTCAATATGGCATGTACTTACACTGACATGGTATTTCAATCATCTATTTAATGTTTCATTGGGACTAAAATAATTTAAATTCACATTTCATCAGTAGTTCTGTTGGACTGCAAAACCTGAAATCCACATTTCTAAACAATTATTTTAGGTTCTACATTCTATAAATAGCCATTTCATTTATTTACTTGACATAATCACTAGTACTGTGCAGAACTGAACTCCTTTCATAGATACATGTATATATGATAAAAGCGGCATGGTTTACAAAGCTTAGAGGGATTAGTCTGTGTGTTGGGGGGCTTGCAGGAGTATACCTGCTAGTTGCCTGTAGTGGGTCACTGATAAGTCGAGTCTCTGCGTCACTCCTCTGCTTCCTGTTATATCTGGGACGCTGGTCCCTTTACAGGTAAATATACGTATCGTTCATTTATCATATTTATCAACCATAAACACAATATTAAGCTACCAAATCGTACATTTCAGCTATGATTTGGTTATTTCACTTAACAGAAGATATTGCTAATTATTAACATAAAAAGTTGGAGTGACCAGTGAATTTGCATCCCTTAGTATAATAATTGTTTTTTTCTCCTACTTAATGTACACAGTTCTTAATTAAGAAAAAAGATATGGCAAAGACAGGCAGCATATTTTCAAAAGTAATTATCAAGAAAATTCCACATATTATATCTTTGAAAGTATGAAATTACTTCAAGCAAAAAAGTAAGTAAACTATTTTTTCCTAATGTTACCATCAGCAACTAAGAATGTTTTGGGTTATTTACAGTGTAAACATCAACAACAGAGAATTTATGGATCAAAACTCATCTAATTTAACAATCCACCACAAACTTCTGAGACTATTTATTAATCAGGAGATCAACAGATGTTTCTTAGGTCAACTGTTGATTCATCAAACAATTTTTAAAATTTTTTTTTTTAAATAATTCACAACATTCAAACTTTGTTCACAAAGTAGGAGGAATAAAGCAATATAAAACAGCAAACATACATTCTATAATGATCTCATGGTTAACAGGGCTATATCATTTTATAATTACTAATACAAACAACGAAAGCTGAAAACACCAAAACTTTATAACATATTTATTGCTTGCTAATCAAGTTAAAAATTAGGGGGATGATCAAAAGACTGAAGTCATCACAAATTAAAGCTACTGCACCTAGACCTGGTGAAAGTAGACCAACTGAAACTTTTCAATACTGCCCATTTAATATAATATTTACAAAAACTGAGTATTTTGAAGAAAATCTGTCAGTAACTGGAGAATGAGAGAAGTACAATGACATAATACTGAAAGATATTGATCATAATATCATCATGTCTGAGATTTTTTAGAATTCCAGGACACTTTGACATATAATGATCTTAGTCAAATATTACTACTGTCTAAAATATATAGATGTTAAACGATAAATATACCAAAAGTTGTCTAAACTAGCAATCCAATATGCATTCAAAAAAGCAGCAGACACAATTTCTATTTTCATTGCAAAGTTAATTGATTGGCTGAGTCGAACAAAACAGAATATGTAGATCAGCCGAAATCTAGGTTGTTTCATAACAGCAGCTTAGCAGCTTTTCAATAACTCTGTGACAATTCTAATGCAAAAAAAAAAAAAAAAAAATCAAAAGAGACAAACATTTCTGAAAACAGCATATCAGTAGTAACAAAATAAATAAAAAGTGCATCACGGAATATTAAACACTAAACGAACAAAAAATGTAGAGTAGCGCATCACATTTTCACATTGTGAAACTTACACTCCTATGCCATACCGCCAGTATCTTTGATGGAACAGAAACAAGAGATATATGACATGACAACTCCATCACAAAAACACCAGGTAAGGGAGAGAACTCTCTTGTAGAGATGATATCTTCTTTTAATCACCAGAAATGGGAATGAACTCTCTGGCAGAGTTAACATCTTCATTTAAAACAGACTTATGACTCAGAGACAGCCTGAGTAGTCTACAGTTGATTATGTATTTTATGGGAAGCTAGTATGTAACATTATATAAATCTAAATCATAACAAAATTCTTGCTCAAATGAATAATAGAATAAATAATGTGAGAAGATTTCCCCAGAGCTGATTAAGAAGAAAACCTATTCCATCTGTTTGTATATATTTCATTAAAACTATAAAACACAGATATTACAGCAGTTTTGTGACTGTACAAGTATTACATACGACTAGATTCTAAGCTTTATATTTTAAACACAATGTTCCATTTTAATAAAAACTTATATTCTTTCAACATTTTCTGTTCTAGCAATTTCAAGTTGGCATTTCTTTAAAAAAAATCTTCCTTGAATATACTAAATCATAAAGGTTTGTTCAGGATCATGAAATGTACTTCCAGCAGCAACACATTAGTCTCGAGGCAAAACCACTACTCTTGGAAATGCTGATCTCATAAAAATTTCTCGAAAATGTTCAAGATTTTATTTTTTCAAAGAAAAAAAGTAGAGATCCTTACTTGGTATTTATGACAGATTTACTTAATATGGACAGCAGATTGGGTGAATAAAGAACATGACAGATTAACTTCATATAGACAGTAGAATGGGAGAATGTGGAACATGACAGATTTACTTAATATGGACAGCAGATTGGGTGAATAAAGAACATGACAGATTTACTTCATATAGACAGTAGAATGGGAGAATGTGGAACATGACAGATTTACTTAATATGGACAGCAGATTGGGTGAATAAAGAACATGACAGATTTACTTCATATAGACAGTAGAATGGGAGAATGTGGAACATGACAGATTAACTTAATATGGACAGCAGATTGGGTGAATAAGGAACATGACAGATTTACTTAATGTAGACAGCAGATTGGGTGAATGAAGTCAGGCTCTAAATATTACCATCTGAAGGTTTATTTCAGAGAAAAAAAATTAACTACTGCATAAATAATGTCTCTATTGAAAAATTTCAAAAGAGAATACACATGGACATGATGAAGAATTTCAGATGAAGAAAAATGATAATACAATGAATAGAGAGAAAATCTCTTAGTTATCAAACTTACTTAGTATCATGTGCATGTTGTGTGGTTCGTTAATGGAATGCACTTTCAAAACAAGTCTCAACCAAAAAAAATGGAATTTCATTCCATATTAAATTTGTGCAAAGCAAAAACCAATTAATTGATAATAAGTAAACAGCCACAGTCATTATGAACTTCAAACTGGATACAATAACTCCAAGCACGCGAATATGTTTCAGTAGAATTACCTACCCAGAATCTCCACCCGAGCTCTGGGGTCTACGAATTTAGACAGATAGTACAAAATCAGTAGAATCTTTCACTTCAGATATGAAATAAATATCTAGTATTTAACCAGAAAGTCTTGAATTGATTTGAAAGTTCAAAATAAAAATAATCATAGGAACACAAACACATTTTTAAAGGAGAAAAATGAAAAAAAAAATTAACTTCTTAGAAGGAAATATGCAATTTCTCTGCTTAATATCACTTAATTTCACACTTTGTGAATTTCTTAATTATATTTGTTAATTATTTTGAAAGAAAAAAAATTATTCTAAATAGTTTTCCACACATGCGTTCAATATCATAAGAGTCCTCTACATCAATAAACAATTTCAACAAGAGCTATAACCATACAACAGATGTGTACAGTACAGGTGCATCAGATCTACATGTGTTAGAACAAATATCACAAGTATAATATCGAGAGCACTTACCGAGGTCGCATCACATCCGCAGCGATGGTTGTGTGAGTGAACTCCTCCTTACTATCCAAGTACGGATAGCCGTTCAGGTGGATATGAGCATCATAACTTTGTGGCTAAGGAAAGATAACTCTGGTAGCAACTTAGTCATGTTATATTTCTGTAAACCCTAATGGCCAATAGATAAGCTGTTACACCATACAGTCAGAATGGTGGGCTTATTACTGGGTACTGAAATAATCTTTGTTTGCTTTTGTACTCAAGATCAAAAAAGGTATGTATGGGCTTATGGCTTAATTTTCATTTCTATTGTTATGAGTGAGAAAGATATTACAATATGGCTTTTGACCAATCGACAACATTTGGATCACTGACCAATCAAATCAAAGGAATATGCCTAATCAAATCTATTAAATTATTGACCAATATGAATTCATACTTCCATGAGAGAAGAGATAATAAATGCAAGAATGTTAGCTGAATTAAACTCTCCAGACTAAAGAAAGAGTTACTGATATGTTCAAACCTACCAAGTTTAAGTCATATAAATCTGGTTAAATTTTACATCACAACAAAAAAAGAGGAGGTAACTAATTACAGATAAAAAAGGATACATTCCTTCTCTCCCTAACGAGTCTCCTACCCACTTGCTGGTGAGGACGGCAGCCATCAGAGGCACAATGTACTGTAACCCTCCTGTCAGCTCAAACATTATTACCACCAGGGACACTGCAAGACAGAAAGTTAGCAATGAAAGGTCAGAACATATGCTATCAATTCTTTGATTCAGTCTGATGAAACTGGAAGTGAGTCCTGGCAATGTGATAAAGAAAGATCTTAGTTCATCCAGAGAAAGCTCTACAACTCACCTGTCATCCTCGTTACACCCCCAAGCACTGCAGCGGCCCCCACCATGGCATACAATCCAGGTGTGATTGTGCAGAAATTGTCTGACACACACATGTTATGGAAAAATGGATTAGAATGATATCTCCTGAAAAACATAAGATTTAGATACTGATACAGACAGCTAGAACTGTGTCAATGTCCAAAGTCTCAATAGAAAAAATAGGATATTGCAAACATTTTTAAAATTAACTACAATAATGATAACACCATGATATTTCTTGGCTATGATTTCTAAAAGACTTTTCAAATTCTGTGAAATGTAGATTTCTTATTAAAACAAATTTGCAAATTTTACTTAGATTAAAACTTTTTCATCATTCATCAATAATGGCACAGAGCAAGAAAAGCACAAAAAAAGAAAAAGAAAAAAAAGTCAGGATTCTGGAAGTATATTTGTTATTGTAATCAAGGGCAGACAACTCACACAACCAATTGCTCTACTCCAATACCAACGATTCGACCTACAATAGCCCCGACTGCCATACTTGGAATGAACAGACCAGCAGGTATCTGTAGTGAACATAGTAACAAATTGTTTCACTCTGCATCAAACATTACAATTATTTAGTTTACATATACATATTTCTCAAACTATTAAACAGTCAATACAAAAGGCCAAGCCAAATGGGTCATTAAACATTCTCAAACAAGTCATAAAATCTTATCTAATTCTCAATTCAATTCTTTATCTTTAGCAGCATTTAACAAAATGAAAACATAGTGTCCTTTGATTAGTACATTTCACACAAGTCACATTTCAATTTAAAAGTATCCATAAAAAAAACAAAGAGGAATAACTCTGTATATATTGATCTTAAGGCAATGTCACTGTATCTTGGCCAAATATGAACAAAGAAAGCAAAGTGTCATAACATATATAGTGAAAGCATAAGACCCTATGTAAGTTTAAAAACCTCAAGGTACCACAGCTGCAAAGAGGTACACTGACACTCGTTTCTGCAGCTGGAGACAAAACATTGTGATATTAAAAAGGATGAAATGTAGACAAAGTGCAAGCCTGCAGTCCTATAGTCATACCACTAGCAGAATGCTGTGTACATTTAGTTTGTAACTCAACAATACAAAGAACTGACCTTAATACCAAATGTAAAGATGGTGATGATAGCTTTAAAAATGAGTGCTATAGATAACATCCACAAAGCCTTGTACACTCCGTCCCCAGCCTCTGTACTCGATGAGTAAAACGTTGGTGATGCTGCATTCAATGACGAGTAATTTCTTTTGTAATCACTGAAAAAAAAAAATAAAACAAATTCTCTTGAAAGAAAATTGTTTAAAATTCACAATGATTCATTTCTATATACAGCTATACCTATCTTTAATGTCACATCTATATAATACATGTCTATAAAGGCCACTTCTTTGGGTTCCCTGATTAATTCAACCAATGGTACAGAACCTCTATACAATGGCCACCTGCCTAGAAAGGCCACCCTGTTTCATTCAGTGGACTTTAGAGAGAGGAATCATGATACATGTGCAGTAAGATACTTAACACTACACATCTGAGAAACAAATAAATAATGAGAGGTAAAAAGTTATTTATTGGAATTAGCTGTAATCCAAATGTAGAAGTTAATCAGACGAAAGCAGAGTTCATTAGCAGAAGATGTGATGCAGATTTACCATAATTCTGTGTTATCCTCAGGTCCACACCTGCTGAACAGCTGGCGAATAAGTTCACTCGTATTTTTTCTATAAAACAAAATTAAACATAATCACTACAATTTCAGACAAAACATCACACACAAATTTCTGGATATTGAAATAGTACTTGTGATTCTCATCTTTCAGACAACAAGACATTATAATCCAATATCTAGCTATTAGGAACAGATATTGAAACTGTACGTGTGGTTCTCATCTTTCAGACAACCAGACTTTATAATCCAATATCTAGCTGTTAGAAACAGATATTGAAACAGTGCGTGTGGTTCTCAACTTTCATACAACCATTCATTATAAAATTACAGTTTTCCATTAATTTTTCATAACAAATGAACTATATCCCCAGTTAACTGCTTTTCAGCTGAAGATTTCACTTCCCGAACTCCTTTTACAGATTTTTGACTTATGTGTAGTGCATTCTCTCATTCAAGACTGAAAATAGCACACCAGTTCACAACATGCAAATAACTATTCTAGTTTCATAGTATTTTCCGTGACATCTGAATGGCCTAAAAGCAATTTGACCTTAGCTTAATTCATTCCCTTCAGATTATGTTTACTTCTCTGTAGTTAACTTTTCAAGCTGGTATACAGCCAAGAAAGTTACTTAAGTTTATACAGCTAGTACCAGATATACTTGTAAGGGTAACATATAAGACTTACAGACAAGGGAGATAACTTACCTTGTATACTCATTTGGGTAACTCAGTAAGGCTGTGATAAAAGCGACCCCAAGTACCTACACAATGAATACAAATATTTTAATTATATCTACTTCTTTATTTAAGCATCAGATCAATGAAACATATATAAAGACTTTAACAGATATCATAAATAGACCATACAGGAACCTGAGTAAAGAAGATGGTGACATTTTCAGGCATAAAACAATCTTCTGAAACAATCATAATGTGGAGATTCAAATCCATGAAGAACAGAATACTACACTCTGTATCTCTGAAGAAGGGAATACTATACTCTGTATCTCTGAGGGGAATACTACACTCTGTATCTCTGAGGGGAATACTACACTCTGTATCTCTGAGGGGAATACTACACTCTGTATCTCTGAGGGGAATACTATACTCTGTATCTCTGAGGGGAATAATACTATACTCTGTATCTCTGAGGGGAATACTATACTGTGAATCTCTGAGGGGAATACTATACTCTGTATCTCTGAGGGGAATACTATACTCTGTATCTCTGAGGGGAATACTATACTCTGTATCTCTGAGGGGAATACTACTCTGTATCTCTGAGGGGAATGTATCTCTGAGGGGAATACTATACTCTGTATCTCTGAGGGGAATACTAACTCTGTATCTCTGAGGGGAATACTATACTCTGTATCTCTGAGGGGAATACTATACTCTGTATCTCTGAGGGGAATACTATACTGTATACTCTGTATCTCTGAGGGGAATACTATACTCTGTATCTCTGAGGGGAATACTATACTCTGTATCTCTGAAGAAGGGAATACTATACTCTGTATCTCTGAGGGGAATACTACACTCTGTATCTCTGAGGGGAATACTACACTCTGTATCTCTGAGGGGAATACTATACTCTGTATCTCTGAGGGGAATACTATACTCTGTATCTCTGTATCTCTGAGGGGAATACTATACTCTGTATCTCTGAGGGGAATACTATACTCTGTATCTCTGACGGGAATACTATACTCTGTATCTCTGAGGGGAATACTATACTTTGTATCTCTGAGGGGAATACTATACTCTGTATCTCTGAGGGGAATACTATACTCTGTATCTCTGAGGGGAATACTATACTCTGTATCTCTGAGGGGAATACTTTACTCTGTATCTCTGAGGGGAATACTATACTCTGTATCTCTGAGGGGAATACTATACTCTGTATCTCTGAACTCTGTAAGGGAATACTACTCTGTATCTGTATCTCTGAGGGGAATACTACACTCTGTATCTCTGAGGGGAATACTACACTCTGTATCTCTGAAGAAGGGAATACTATACTCTGTATCTCTGACGGGAATACTATACTCTGTATCTCTGAGGGGAATACTATACTCTGTATCTCTGAGGGGAATACTATACTCTGTATCTCTGAGGGGAATACTATACTCTGTATCTCTGACGGGAATACTATACTCTGTATCTCTGAGGGGAATACTATACTCTGTATCTCTGAGGGGAATACTATACTCTGTATCTCTGAGGGGAATACTATACTCTGTATCTCTGAGGGGAATACTATACTCTGTATCTCTGAGGGGAATACTATACTCTGTATCTCTGAGGGGAATACTATACTCTGTATCTCTGAGGGGAATACTATACTCTGTATCTCTGAAGAAGGGAATACTATACTCTGTATCTCTGAGGGGAATACTATACTCTGTATCTCTGAAGAAGGGAATACTATACTCTGTATCTCTGAGGGGAATACTATACTCTGTATCTCTGAGGGGAATACTATACTCTGTATCTCTGAGGGGAATACTATACTCTGTATCTCTGAGGGGAATACTATACTCTGTATCTCTGAGGGGAATACTATACTCTGTATCTCTGAGGGGAATACTACACTCTGTATCTCTGAGGGGAATACTATACTCTGTATCTCTGAGGGGAATACTATACTCTGTATCTCTGAGGGGAATACTATACTCTGTATCTCTGAGGGGAATACTATACTCTGTATCTCTGAAGAAGGGAATACTATACTCTGTATCTCTGAAGAAGGGAATACTTTACTCTGTATCTCTGAAGAAGGGAATACTTTACTCTGTATCTCTGAAGAAGGGAATATTATATTTTGTATCTTGTGAGAAGAGAATACTATTCTCTGTTATCATTTCCTTTCATGTAATGAAGTCAAAGTGAATAGACATAACACTTACCTCAACAATAGGATATTTTCCTAGTACTGACGATTTCCTAAATTTACACCACTTTATATTCAGCTTGATGAATAAGCTCCCAAACACACCCTGGAAAACATTATAGCAGAAAATCATTATCTTAATGCATCAAATTTTTAAATAAATAATAAGCGAAATATATCTTTTCAATAAAACTACCATTGATATGCAGATAAATGTGTTATTTTACTAGGCTGAATTATATGGTATACTTGACAGTTGGTAAGGAGGTTATAATTGGCAATAGGTATACAGTAGACACATATTTAGGGTATCTATGTACCAAAGGACAGATTTATAATGGAGCGTACTTGGTGGTAGACAAGTACAATATTGCAAACTTACAAGGTGTATAAATGCATCTTTGTGCATAGAAAGAAAGATGAAGGGACACAAATCCTGTCCTTAATGTCCCTACAGTGATACATACACATCCCTTCTGCCCCCAGAGAGACGAAGGGAGACAAAACCTACCCTTAATGTCCCTACTGTTACATAGTGAGACATACTCACCCCTACTGCCCCCAGAAAGATGAAGAGAGACCTAACCTACCCTTAATGTCCCTACAGTTATACAGTGAGACATACTTACCCCTACTGCCCCCAGAAAGATGAAGAGAGACCTAACCTACCCTTAATGTCCCTACAGTTATACAGTGAGACATACTTACCCCTACTGCCCCCAGAAAGATGAAGAGAGACCTAACCTACCCTTAGTGTCCCTACAGTTATACAGTGAGACATACTTACCCCTACTGCCCCCAGAAAAATGAAGAGAGACCTAACCTACCCTTAGTGTCCCTACAGTTATACAGTGAGACATACTTACCCCTACTGCCCCCAGAAAGATGAAGAGAGACCTAACCTACCCTTAGTGTCCCTACAGTTATACAGTGAGACATACTCACCCCTACTGCCCCCAGAAAGATGAAGAGAGACCTAACCTACCCTTAGTGTCCCTACAGTTATACAGTGAGACATACTCACCCCTACTGCCCCCAGAAAGATGAAGAGAGACCTAACCTACCCTTAGTGTCCCTACAGTTATACAGTGAGACATACTTACCCCTACTGCCCCCAGAAAGATGAATGGGATCAGCTCCTGGAGATACCATGGTTCATTATATTCAACATAAAACATCACCAAGTGATCGTTCCCAAATGGGTTGATGGAACGTAGGACAAATGCTGCAGCCAGAGCGCAGAAGAACGAACGCCACAAAGTTTTCAATGGAAAGTAGTAGCTCACCTGACATCGACAGATAGGTTACATGTAAAATGGAGATAATTCTGACATCAACAGATAGGTTACAAGTAAAATGGAGAGAATTCTGACATCAACAGATAGGTTACAAGTAAAATGGAGATAATTCTGACATCAACAGATAGGTTACATTAGTAAAATGGAGACATCACATCAACAGATAGGTTACAAGTTAAAATGGGTTCAACAGATAGGTTACAAGTAAAATGGAGAGAATTCTGACATCAACAGATAGGTTACAAGTAAAATGGAGAGAATTCTGACATCAACAGATAGGTTACAAGTAAAATGGAGATAATTCTGACATCAACAGATAGGTTACAAGTAAAATGGAGAGAATTCTGACATCAACAGATAGGTTACAGTAAAATGGAGAGAATTCTGACATCAACAGATAGGTTACAAGTAAAATGGAGAGAATTCTGACATCAACAGATAGGTTACAAGTAAAATGGAGAGAATTCTGACATCAACAGAGAGGTTACATGTAAAATGGAGAGAATTCTGACATCAACAGATAGGTTACAAGTAAAATGGAGAGAATTCTGACATCAACAGATAGGTTACAAGTAAAATGGAGAGAATTGTGACATCAACAGATAGGTTACAAGTAAAATGGAGAGAATTCTGACATCAACAGATAGGTTACATGTAAAATGGAGAGAATTCTGACATCAACAGAGAGGTTATATGTAAAATGGAGAGAATTGTAACATCAACAGATAGGTTACAAGTAAAATGGAGAGAATTGTGACATCAACAGATAGGTTACAAGTAAAATGGAGAGAATTCTGACATCGACAGATAGGTTACATGTAAAATGTAGTGAATTCTGACATCAACAGAGAGGTTAAATGTAAAATGGAGAGAATTCTGACATCAACAGAGAGGTTACATGTAAAATGGAGAGAATTGTGACATGACATCAACAGATAGGTTACAAGTAAAATGGAGAGAATTCTGACATCAACAGAGAGGTTACAAGTAAAATGGAGAGAATTCTGACATCAACAGATCGGTTACATGTAAAATGGAGAGAATTCTGACATCAACAGATAGGTTACATGTAAAATGGAGAGAATTCTGACATCAACAGATAGCTTACAAGTAGAATGGAGAGAATTCTGACATCAACAGATAGCTTACAAGTAGAATGGAGTGACAAATTGAAAGAAAACTAAGATAGCTTGATTTTCCTAATAAAAATGTATCAGAAATAAGAGATTTCATTATAGCCGTTTATTTAATGTAACATATGAGACATTCCATCCATAATTGTGGGGAAATTTACAGAAAAAATAGATCTCTATAATATAATGTAATGTATTATTTATTTCACAAATTTAATGAAAGGAAAGGAAAGTTTTTCAAAAATATTGGCAAAACTTTGAATTTATGATGTGTCTGTTTGAGAGTTAAGAGAAATGTTAATGCATATCTTATAAAAACAAGTACCTGTAATATACAGAATTAGCAACACCTTACCTCTTCTAGACTGAAAAGCACCCCTCCAATTGGAGCACCGAACGCCACACTCACACCTGCGGCTGATGCAGCAGACAGAATCTAAAGTCATACAGTAACATAGTTTGTTAGCTGTCATAACTTCATATATTTCAAGCAAACACATGTTGACCGCTCTGAGCTACATGAAACCATAATGAATTAGAAATTATGTCTACAATACATAATTTTCTAAATATGTTTAGTTCTTCTAGTTTGAAATAACAAAATAATTCCGAGCAATATTTTTTTAAAAATTATTTATTGGCTATCTATAACCTGTTTGGTATCAATGAGTCAAACTTGAACTGGTCATGAATGACCTTTCACCTTTAGGAAGGTTTAAGATCAATTTTCTTACCTCTCTCTTTTTTGCCTCGTTGCTACCATACTTGGGGAACAGATAAGAGAAGATGTTGCCACAGCAACAAGCCACGTGGACAAAAGGTCCCTCCTTGCCGAGACTCAGCCCTGCAGACACACCTAACATCATCCCAATAGACTTGGTGAGTAGTGTCCACTTACCCAGATATCCACGGATGATAAATCCACTCAGAATGGTTTTAATCTAAACACAGAATTATGGGTAAAGTTATAGCATCGCAAATATGAAATTATACTACGTACAACAACCTGTGCCATGGAATTCCTGTTTTAAGTTATTGCAGAAAGAATTTTTCCCCTCTACACAGGAGGAATTGATCAGAATCCCTGGCATTTCTTACAGCTATTTTTCAACCATCAACTGAAAGGCTAAATTGATATCCCTAAAAGCATGTTGGTATTTTCACATTTGATTACCTGGAATCAAATGTAAGAGAAAATTGTTGATGTTCATACTGAATTGGGGTAATGGATAGACTTCTCTGCTATTTTTCATTTTTCCTAAAGTCTCTATTTTTTTCATGTATAAATCAGATAAATTGAGTTTATTTACAACAATGAAGAAATTTCCTGGAAAAAGTGAAAATATGGATAACAGACCTGACTGACTGAATTTAAAATGAAATGACCAGACATTAGGAACAATTTGTTTTACAAAGTCATATTTACAAATGTTTATAATAACAACTGAAAATAATGATTACACAATGACACAATGATGACTGGTCAAGATAACTTACCTCAGGGATACCAGATCCACATGCGTAGGGGGCAAACATGCGTACAAACATTGCAGCAAGAAAGGCAAAAAGAAGAGCCCACAAAATGTATACGAAGTACGCAACAATGTAGTAGCCTCCACTGTTAACATCCTTACCCGCTCCTAATAATTGTGACCAGGAATACCACTGCAGCAGAGAAACAGACCATTATAAACTCTGCTTAAAACGAAGGTAAAGAGAAACAGAACATTAAACTAGTGATGGGAAATAAAATGCTCATTGAAATGATATCATACTACTTAAACTGAGAAAAAGAGAAATAAACTGAGATGATAACACATGGGTTGAGAGAAACAGAATATCAAACCAGTGGCGAGAAATCTTAATACTCCATATGGCTTTGTATCTCTGGTGATTGAGAAACAGATAATTACACACCTCTTCAATCACTTTAATCACTTTATATGGCCTCTATCGTCCTCATAAAACTGACTTTTGCCAGACTTTATTTTCAAGGTCGCTGTTCTTAATTTATACATATATGTGACCAGTATAACATCTACTGGAAAAAGATGTTTGGGTCCTAAGGTAGCTAGCTGTCTCTATATCACACACAGCGACATTGCCTACCTGAGAACAGCCACTATTATTGAAGAAGGAGTTGTTTGCTGACCAGCAGCATTGTTCCTTAGGGAGCCAGAAGGCATCCCTACATACACCCTCCTTTAGGTCAGACATCCATGTTGCTCCAATATCGATCACGCCAGCACAAGCACCTGCCAGACAGAAACGTTATATTGTTTGACATTACTGCAAATTGTTCCTAGATTAGTAAACCACAGAACAAGGAATCATGACCTTGATGGACTTAAATTCATTAACAATAATGAGGAAAAATATAGATTCAATTCATTCCTTGCAATAAGAGAAATTATAGAGATTAAATTCATTTACAAAATTAAAGGAAAATATAGATATTCAATTCATAAATGATAATTAGAAAAAATATAGAGGTTAAATTCATTAACAATACAGAGAAAAAATATTATATAGCAATTCAATTCTTCAATTACAATGAAAGAAAATATGAAGAGACACACAATTTTTTTTCTGGCAAAAATTCCTATACCTGGTAAAAATCCCACCCATGTCTACTGCAATTTAGTAAAAATGTTACCTATGACATCTCTATAACATCCTGTAATTAGCCCACCCCTATTCTGACTCCCAGTTTTTGTGTTGTCTCCTGGGCTTACTACTGGACAGGAAGTAGATATAGGTAAATAATTATGTAGTTCTGATGTCAAACGCACCTGCAGCCACTCCCACTAATAACACACACACCCAGCCAGACCAGGCATCATGGGCACTCTTAAGCTTTTCCAGGAATCCCTCCTGCTTCTTTTTCATGATATGGCGGTGTCGCATGCGGTCCCTGGCGATGTCTCGCAACCAGTCGATCGTGTGGAAGTCATCATACTGGCCGATACCTGGGGGCAGATCTTCCAAGGTATCCATGAGGTTGGAGGAACCTGAAACAGACATATAAGAGATCATACCTAAATGTACATAGTATCAACTTTGGTATTTATTAACTAAGAAAAATCACACCCCTACATCTCTGTACAATAATATCTAATGCAGTGAGAACACTTTCCCCAAGTCTTACATCTCATGATTTTAAAAGCTGTATAGAAAATGATGAATTAAACATTTGTATAGCATGTTAATTGTTTAAACAACTATATTACCTGTACTTTGTATGGTGTTAGTGCAGTAGGTCTTCTAATCCGAAGATTAATGTAAAATTATGATCAAAATGCTCAAACTGAGATTGTAAATTTTATTAATTGTCTCGTTTTTTCCTTGAAAAAGTGTTTTTTTTTGGTAACACTACATAAAACAATATATTAGGGATATGGTTTCTGAGCAAAGTATCAAAGCACACAGCTAACAGTGAGCTTTTTTATGTGACACAAATGATGCCTGAAACTGTACTGTCTTGCAGCCTGCCTGATTATCTCTATTTTCAATCCAATCTATCTCACCTTATACTAGTTTTGTTGCCTACCATCCCCTGCAGCAGCTGTTGATTTATACAACCTTCTATTATGACAGTACAAAACAGCCACGCCATGATTTGTTTTGGTTTTTTTTTGCTAAAAATTTGCAAAGCAATTATTTCTGTTCTTCTGCATTTTATTTCCAATGCATGCCATCAGTAACAATGGGAGTGCTGTCTCTCATCAACCACTTCGTCCATATCATTTTGACTTTTATGTAGCAGAGCTGACAACCCATCCACAAGAATCACTGACAAGAACAGGCATTCTAAGGTTCTTGTCCTTTCTAGTGTACAATTTTACCTTCAGTTAGAATATCTACTTTATACATATAACTACAAAAACAAATCAGACATATCTATAGGCAACAAGACAGGCCAGATTGTTCCTGGTGCCCACCACGAAATGATCTCAATCATTTTGTAACAAAGGAATATTAAATATGAACTCTTAACAAGAAGGAAATAGATGATATTGATATATTAATTTGTAGTTTAAACAACATCTACTGAATATTTCAAAAGTATTCCACATACCATATCCTAGTGCAATATATTTACAAGTTAGAAAAAAATCTATGATCTGTAACCTTAATAGAGGGTCAAAGACATTCATCTGAGCAAACATGATAATCCTTCATTACAACATTGCCTCTGGTCAAATGGGGACAATATTGGATTTCAGACGGACTGGAAACATAACAACACTTGGTCAGGACCATTTCAGGATCATTTCAGGTATGTTTAAGCTCGAACCCAGTTCTGGAACTTGAGAAGTTTAAAAATAGCTATTGTTCCGGGAAACCATGATTGGACCATCATGTTCCTGGATATAAGCATGCAAGGAATCTTAAGAGTGGAGGAGATATAAAAATGATATCACAAGTTAAAACGAGAGCTTTCTAAGCAATCCCAATGACAAACTTAACAAATCCATTGGGCACAACTTGGGACATACCAAAGGGAAGCTACACATCAAGTTTCAGAAATATCTTTTCCAGTGTTTCTCTAGAAACAGTGATAACACACTTCAACTCTCTAAGTGTAATGGGCACAACTTGGGATGTACCTCTGGGAAGCTACACATCAAGTTAAAGAAAAATTCTTCCAATACTTCTCAAGAGATAGTAGTAATAAAAATCAACATTCAAAATCCAAGATGGCCACCTGTCAGCCATTTTGCTTCACTAAACAGTTTTAAAACTAAATGTACAGGACTAGGGACACTGGGAAACACACGCAGCAAGTTTGAGAAATTTTCCTCTATAACTTCTCAAGAAATAGCGATAACAAGAATTTTTGAAATACAGATGAAAAACTGACTGACAAAAGCCAGACAACAGACCACAGAGGAATGGCAATTTAAAAGCCCACCATCTGATGATCATTAGCTTTGATAAAGTATTGACTAGAGCTCTGTACATATTGAGTGGTCCAGTTTTGAGGCAATTTCAGGGAGAAGTTTTATTCTGATGTCCTAAGTCATCAAAACCTGACATCCTTGCTGTTTGTTCAATTATATTGATAATGACCAACGGGAGGACACCAGCCAGCTGAACATTCAACATGACAGGTTGTCTAACAGCAATTAGCGCGTAAGTATTTTGAGGTAGTGATCACATGATGATCTGAAGATATTGAGAATATGGTGGGATAATTTCCTATTGACAGACATAATGCTGTTATAGAAATAAGAATATTGTGTAGAATATGAGATGGACAGAATGGAAAGATGTGTAGATATGGTGCAGATGGATGGACAGACAATGGAAAGATAGGTAGATATGGTGTAGATGGATGGACAGACAATGGAAAGATGTGTAAATATGGTGCAGATGGATGGACAGACAATGGAAAGATGGGTAGATATGGTGTAGATGGATGGACAGACAATGGAAAGATGGGTAGATATGGTGTAGATGGATGGACAGACAATGGAAAGATGGGTAGATATGGTGTAGATGGATGGAAAGACAATGGAAAGGTGGGTAGATATGGTGTAGATGGATGAACAGACAACAAGTAAAATATGGGTAAATATGGTGTAAATGGATGGACAGAACAGACAACAAGGAAAGATAGGTAGATATGGTGTAGATGGATGGACAGACAATGGAAAGATGGGTAGATATGATGTAGATGGATGGACAGACAATGGAAAGATGGGTAGATATGGTGTAGATGGATTGACAGACAATGGAAAGATAGGTAGATATGGTGTAGATGGATGGACAGACAATGGAAAGATAGGTAGATATGGTGTAGATGGGTGGACAGACAATGGAAAGATAGGTAGATATGGTGTAGATGGATGGAAAGACAATGGAAAGATGGGTAGATATGGTGTAGATGGATTAACAGACAATGGAAAGATGGGTAGATATGATGTAGATGGATGGACAGACAATGGAAAGATGGGTAGATATGGTGTAGATGGATGGAAAGACAATGGAAAGGTGAGTAGATATGGTGTAGATGGATGAACAGACAACAAGTAAAACATGGGTAAATATGGTGTAAATGGATGGACAGGACAGACAACAAGGAAAGCTAGGTAAATATGGTGAAGATGGATGGGCAGACAACATGGAAATATGGGTAGATATGGTGTAGATGGATGGACAGACAATGGAAAGATAGGTAGATATGGTGTAGATGGATGAACAGACAACAAGTAAAATATGGGTAAATATGGTGTAAATGGATGGACAGGACAGACAACAAGGAAAGATAGGTAGATATGGTGTAGATGGATGGACAGACAGCATGGAAAGGTATGTTGATATGAAGGAGATAAATAGATATACAGACAGAGTGGAAAATGGGTAGATATGATGTAAACTTACATGTCTGTGGCTTCACTTGAAGAGGATTAATAAAGAGAGACACAACCATTAAAATCAACAAGACACAGTAACATAACAGCATCTATAACACAGGATCACAGCAGATCACAGAGATAATACATAACAGCATCTATAACACAGATCACAGAGATAATACATAACAGCATCTATAACACAGGATCACAGCAGATCACAGAGATAATACATAACAGCATCTATAACACAGATCACAGAGATAATACATAACAGCATCTATAACACAGGATCACAGCAGATCACAGAGATAATACATAACAGCATCTATAACATAGGATCACAGCAGATCACAGATATAATACATAACAGCATCTATAACACAGGATCACAGCAGATCACAGAGATAATACATAACAGCATCTATAACACAGGATCACAGCAGATCACAGATATAATACATAACAGCATCTATAACACAGATCACAGCAGATCACAGAGATAATACATAACAGCATCTATAACACAGGATCACAGCAGATCACAGAGATAATACATAACAGCATCTATAACACAGGATCACAGCAGATCACAGAGATAATACATAACAGCATCTATAACACAGGATCACAGCAGATCACAGATATAATACATAACAGCATCTATAACACAGGATCACAGCAGATCACAGATATAATACATAACAGCATCTATAACACAGGATCACAGCAGATCACAGAGATAATACATAACAGCATCTATAACACAGGATCACAGCAGATCACAGATATAATACATAACAGCATCTATAACACAGGATCACAGCAGATCACAGAGATAATACATAACAGCATCTATAACACAGGATCACAGCAGATCACAGAGATAATACATAACAGCATCTATAACACAGGATCACAGCAGATCACAGAGATAATACATAACAGCATCTATAACACAGGATCACAGCAGATCACAGATATAATACATAACAGCATCTATAACACAGGATCACAGCAGATCACAGATATAATACATAACAGCATCTATAACACAGGATCACAGCAGATCACAGAGATAATACATAACAGCATCTATAACACAGGATCACAGCAGATCACAGAGATAATACATAACATTGTATACTGCTTCTGTAAATATTTTAGTCTTCTTCTTATGAAACAACACCATTCAGTGATTACAGTCCAACATCAAATGTGAAAATATATGAACAATTTTTTTCTTTGATGTAGGGCAAAGGTCAAAATAGAAGTCAAAGTGATCTATTGTATATACACAACACACATCTCGCCAAGGTGAATCCATACTCAAAGTATGAAATTCCAGTGAAAAGTAGTGCAGGAAATAAAGCCTTGACAAACTTTTTCTTTAATGTAGGTCAAAGGTCAAATTTTAGGTAAGACTGACCTTCTTTGGAGATGACATACCACCTCACCAAAGTCAACCCATAAGTATGAAGTTCCAGTGACAAGCTAGTGTAGGAGATAGAACCCTATCATAATAGCAGAAGCACAGATGGATGGCAGAAGAAAGGAAGGACGAATGGACACAATGCAATATTAGTACCCCCATCCTTCTTGTACTCAACAGAAGGACTCAAATACCTCCAATAAATTCACACATCATTTAA